TTAAATGTTCACTTTTGATAGAGATAGAGCATGAGGAAGGGAGGGACTGGGGTCACAGGCAGCATTCATAGGCAGGGCCCAGTGTTCATATGACATTCAGAGAGAAAGGAATCCTTCAGCTAAAGTTAGATAACAGGCCTGGCATACAAATTGCTCCCTAGGAGACAGCACTGTGCAGAAAGTGTTCAATAACAGTGTATGGTGAAGAGGGTCTGAAGCATGGGTCTTTCGCAGAGCAGATGGTGCGATAGAAAACATTCACAGGCACAGTGCATGTTGCAGAGGCCATTCATAGAATGCTGGGTGGAAACAGCGTTAACAAGGAAGCCCATCAGGAAAGCAGTGCCAGTCTTTCTCAAGCAGGAAGAGTTGAGAACAGGGACTCCGTGGTTTACACCATCAACAGAAGGCTAGAGCAACAAAGATCAGGGAGGCTGCCACTAGAACATAAGGAAAAAACCCCAATGATTCCAGCTTCCAAAAGGACTGTCATGATCCTCAGGTTCTCCAGAGGCCACTGAAAAAACACATGTGTACCCTATTTTTGACAACCCATAGTGTTCAGTGTTGCTGCCAGAGAATAAGGGCTTCTTTTCTGCCTTCCAAATCCTGTATAATTACCTCTTAGAATACTCAAGTACCTGCAGAACTGATCCCAGAAACACTTTGATGATGGATTCCGGGACCTGTAGTTTCGAGTATTCTCCCTTATATAGGGGAGAGAATGCACAAAGAGGCAAGCATGCTGCCTAGTTGCTAACAGCCAATCCAGCATGGGCCACCTCTTTGACCACTCATCACCCATAATACTCTTCTATCCATATTTTTCTCCCAAATATTCAATAGCAATACTCTGTTTCTGCTTAGCATAATGCAAGCATTCTTCATATAGGGGAATGTGCCTTCATCTTCTCCAAGAAGCAGTGTCAAAAATCCCATTAGACACATCCTCATTCTCTGGGGGATGTCTGTTCCTTTTCTAGTTCTGTCACAATTACACTTTGATATGCTGTAATCCACAGACTATAAGATTAAGCACCACCCACACAATTTAAATTGAGGTTAATAAATGAGAGAAGGAAAATTGGGCTAATAGATTCAAATATATAACAACAAAGCAAGAAAAAATATGCATAGTTTCTATAGCTCTTATTTCTGAAGCTGGTCATGAGGTCATAGTATTTATAATTTCCTTCTTCCACCAGTATTTCAAGTTCTCTATGACCTCATTCAGGTGGATGGGTTGTTTACCTGGTGGGAAGATACAAATCTTCATTTCTGACCAGTATGAGCCCTTAGTGGTCCTGCCTGCATGGGTCACTATAGTTTTCCATTAACTTGTATTATTGGACATGGGAACACTAAGAAACACTCTCAGAGGATCAATCTCCTAGGTTGCAAACATAGTCCTTCCTGCCCCCACTATGTAACAGCAACCGTGTTTCCCCTTGATAATCAGAAGCAATCAACCAGCCACTAACCCTCTTCTTTGTTGTTTCAGTGGCATGAGGGACCCCCACATGGCCATGTGGCAGTCTCAAATTTCAGTTCAATGGAACCATTGTTGGTTCCCCTGGTGAAAGCTTTCCTCCCTTGGGGCCTCCGCAGGGAGAAGATATTGTACAAAGAAGCATCACAAGAGGAATGTGTTCTTTGGAGACCTACAGGTTGAAGACATTCACAAGCAGAGTCCTTAGAGGACACCACATGAGGGTTCATGGGTTGGGGGCCTTCATGGGTTAGATCTATGGGGGAGGTGGGGGAGTAATAGAGGGTATGTTCTGGGATTAACCTTCTTGGTGGAAACATGGTATGCTAAGTGATTTTTCAAAATAACACTACCGTATTTTCCTTTTAGGTATTTGTATCATATAATGTCATCAACAGAGTCCTAGAAATATCTGGTTAGGAGCTACTGCTGTAGCCCTTATCCTCTGAAGTAACAAAACCTCTTCTTCCATTCCCAATTGTACTCATGTAGCCAAGATGGTGACTGAGGTTGGGGTGAGAAAGTAGCTCCAGGGACACTAGCTCAATAGCTATTGAACATTGGGTTCCAAGGTCCCTGCTCACTAGTGGAAGGATTCCTCTATCATGTCTTTTATCTTTGGACTTTTGATCACCTTTTTTTTATCCCTGGGCTAGATTAAGACATATACAGTAAGAAAATTGTATTTTGGGATATAAAACTCAGAAGTGTGGGTCACTTGATAGGCAGCACGATGATTCAACAGGATTCTGTAGCACTGACTTTAATGAGAAAGATGAAAGTCTTGACTACTGGTACACTTCTGGAGGAATGGGTTCAGATGGTGTGTGGGCACCTTTGAGAAGGATATTTGAGAGATACATATTTAGAATTATTGTCAACGAAGAGTTTATGGGACCAGGATTGTTTAGATGGGAGAAGAGTTGATGAGGGAGAACCCAATAAGCATCTTTATTACTTTAGGGGCTGGCATATGGGCAAGGGAGGATATATTACCAGTGGGTGACAGTTAAAAGGAAAAGATTCTAACTCAACTGAACAACGCATTTTCTGAAACTGGACCTGTCCACAGAGTGGGCTTGTATGGGACTGAGCTGATCATTGCAAGTGTACAAGGACTAGATGGCCATCTGTATGCAATGGTAATAAAGGGGAGGATGGACCCAACAGAATAAAATATTCTTTGTTAAGATCTCATCAGTCTAGGGACACCTGGATGGCTCAGTCTGTTAAGCATCTGACTTCGGCTCAGGTCATGGTGTCATGGTTCACAAGTTTGAGCCCCGCATCAGGCTCTGTGCTCTCAGCACAGAGCCCACATCGGATCCTCGGTCTCCCTCTCTCTCTGCCCGTCTCCCACTTGTGCACTTGCTCTCTCTCTCAAAATAAATAAATAAACTTAAAAAAAAAACAAAAATATCTGACTAGTCTAAAATGCTATGCTTCCTGTGCATGCATGATTTCTAGATTTTGCTATTTTTTGCCTCTTTAGATTTGATACTTCTTGAAGTATTTATTTGCTTTTATAGAGAATGGCTTTAGGTAATATTAGAAAATAAATTACACAGCCAATACACCAAGTTATTACACTTAAAAAAAAAGGAAACCTTAACATTGACTACATTGACATATTTAATATCTCAATATTTATTATAATTGAGTACATTAATTTGGGTTAAGCAAATGTGATTAAAAACACTAGATAATTAAAAAGAAGCAAAAGTATAATGCAACCACCTCTCTTAAGTCTGCAGAATTTTGTGCCTTTTTAGACATGAAAGTGTCTGTTTTGAATAGAAATCAATATTGATCTTACAAGCTTTCCATCAATTTCTTGCATATTGGTTCTAAAACTCCCTTAAAGGCACAGTGTATCTTAAAGGTGGAGAAGTCAGCCTATCTTGGATCTCTTTATCCTGTACTCGATCAACTAGGCTATACTGACTCAGGGTTGGTACCTCCAACACAAAGGAGCAGCCTTTCTTTCCCTTTTATTCATTCATTTAGCACCTATGTGTCAGTGTCTATCATGTGCCAAATCCCTCGCTGTGGGCTATACCTGGGGAATACCAGCTCATATTTAGTGGTACATGACCTATTGTATCACTTTTCCCCTCCAGAGCAAATCTGATGCACATCTATGCAAATAAATGGAATGTTCCTCTCTGATCATTTGACAGGAAGACAAGTCCACCAGCCAATGTGCGTAGGAGTCAGAAACTGGAGAGAGATGGAGACATTTTCTAATTAAATTAAGGGAACAGACCCTCAGTTTTCATCAGAAAACTTTCAGGTTGTCCTTCCTCTCAAGGACCTTACACAGTGATCCTGGTCCCAAAGGCAGATGAGCTTAGTTGAACCTGAGTAGAGTATCAGCTGACCACATGGATGGGCCTGCAATTTGTTTAGACAGTCAACAGGTTTCTCTGTTCCAAGTACTTGGGACTCCAGTAGTTGCTGATATCCTGGCTAGCTCAGATCGGGTAGCTCACTGTGGCTTTCCCTGGGTTGACAAGCTCTTCTTTGGGAAGGTCTGTGAGTCAAGTCTCTACCCAGCAGAGAAATCTAAGTTTGGAAGAGTATCTCAGTTCAAAATTATTTTCATAGAAAGGGGAGGAGAGGGAAGGAGGGCACTTTGACTTTTGTGGTACTTCACAGGGAGACCTAGGATGCCCAGAGGAGGAACATGATTTTATACTTTCCTCTCTTTGTAAGAGTATGCCTCAGGGGAGACCTATGGAGGGCAATGTTACTTGGTAAAATGAGGTAACCTCCGCACAGACCTTGGCACATGACACTAAATCAATGCTTGGTAATGTGGTTACTGTTACTGAGAACATGGGTTCTGGAGAGAGACAGCAATGGTTCCACATGATGTAGTGACCACCTTCTGAGTCTTGATATTCCCATATATAAATTGGGGACAAAAATAACCTCTGCATAGGATTAGTATGAGGATTGATGCCATCACTTTGTGATAATGCCTGATAGGTAGTAAGGCCTTGAGAAATGTTAACTGTTTTTCTTCCTTCTTAATCCTGCTGGAGTCTATACAACCTGAAACCTACTTTTGAAGATTTCTGTGTAACTATTGGAATTGAGGGAAAAGGTATTAATCAGCTATCAAGATTCAGAGACAGATGTTCCTTTGGTCAGTGGCCTCTTAAGAATCACACCCCATGGAATGTAATCTTATCTGTGTAGACTTTCAAATGCATGCCCACAAGCTTGCAGGAAAAAAAAAACCCTCAATTATAGTGAAAAGTGGGAAGAAGATAATTAAAATCTGCTATATAACTCAATAAAAAGCAATTAACTATTTTTAAATGTGTATGGAAAGTTAAATATATAAATGTATGTATATATATATGTATACATACATACACACATATATATGGCAACTATAACAGACAAGCTAAATATTAGCCTAAGCCAATCCCTAGCATTCAATGTCTGCAATTTACCCACCAGAGATTTACCCACCTGGCCCCTCAGAAGCTTCAGGAGACCTCTTGTTTTCAAGCCCCAAAGATACACTTAGAGCTGTAACCTAGAATGTGGGGTTGCTCTCTGTCCCAAAAGTCAGGACACGCTGAAACTCATGCTCCTGCCTATCGTACCAGACCATCTAAACTCATCAGGAAGCCAACCTATCTTAAGAAAGCCAAGATGGAATTCTTGTTCCATCTTTTTTTTTTCTTGAGCCTGAAATAAGATCATAGATGTAAAGTGCTTGCTAAGCTATTAAAAGCTACACACACACGTTATTGTCATCATTAAGATACTCTACTAGATGCAATCAGTTCAACTTGAGAAGGGCAAAAGTCTGAAGAAATCAAATGGGGAGGAGGAAAGTGAGGGAAGAGGAGCTAGCAACTTGGGGCAACTGAGGACAGCCAAACTTGTCCAGGAGTCATCAACTTCTTCTCAGCCTGGAAGAGCTAAAAGAAAATAGTAGTAGCCATTAGATTAGAAATGCACATCCAATCCAATAACCAGTCAGAGGTTCTTGGGGTGGCTGATGTCTCCAGGCATTAGGTAAAATAGTCCAGGTCAAGTGTCTTCTAGAGAGAAGGCAGGAGGCTTATAGCTGGTGCAGAGCCTGGTTGCTACCCATTTCCATTGTCTTCAAGGTGGATACTCTGCTCTGTGTTTCTAGTTGAGGAGGTGCTAAGGAGAAGGGGCTCCCAGAATTTGGAAAGGCAGTGTCCTATAGGCACCATGCAGCTCAGACACTGAGTCTGGGTCAGTTCTACTGGCTTTTAGCATGCAAACCTGTCTTCAGGCAGTGTTGGGGATATGGTCCAGAGGCTACCCAAGCAGCCCTTCCTGGTTGGGCCAGCCCCAGGATGGCACCATCCCCTCCCACATATGACCATTTATCCTGGTCTTTACCTACTGCTGGTCCCCCACCTGATTCTAGTTTCACTGAGCACCTTGCTTTTTGAGTCCTGATTTTATGCTATATAAGCAATGGTGGAAGTGATCCAATGGTGGAATTTAGAAGAGAGCCTTGGATTTGAATTAGAAGTTCTGGGTTGAGATCCTGATTCTGCCATCCACTAGCTAGTTGTTTCCTTTTTAGGTCTTCATTTGCTTGTTCTCAAATGAGGCTAACAACACAGGCCTGGCCAGCATCCCAGGGAAGCTAGAGAGCTCAGATAAGATGCTGCATGAAAGGTACTTATTGAGAGGAAGATGCTATAACTCCTGCAACTTAGAAGGGTCTTTGGGGAGGGTCTTTATCTGTACCACCTAAAACCTCAAAGCCTCAAGGCTAAGAGAGATAGTAGCATTCTGGTTTGAGACTCAGGAAGAGACCCGGGCACATTTCTTCTCCCAAATAAGTTTCCTGGCTGCTTGGTACCCACCTAGAAGAGCTTCTCATAGCATTTCCCACAGTGGATGGTGTCATGGTGAATGAAGATCTGATCCAGGAGCTCACCCATTGGTTTACTGCAAATCCCACACTGAAAGAGAAAGCAAGCTAGAGGTCAACATGCAAGTGAAGCAACATAAATTAGTGGAGTGTGGAGGGTGCACCTGAGCAGACACTGACTTGATGGCACATCCTGGACTTTGAAGCAGAGAACAAAAGTTGGTAGAAAACAGAGACAAAACTCAAACAAACAAACCCACACAAATTAGCAGGCATGATGATCACATAGTAGTTAGGAGCCCAGGTTTCAGAACTGTTCCTGGATTTGAGCCCTAAATCCACTGTTTATTAGCAGGGTGATCTTGGGCAAGTTACTGAGGTTCTCTGAGACTCTATTTCCTGATATATAAAGTGGCACACTGGCAGGTTATCATAAGGGTATGGTGAGGTAGCCCATAAAGGACACTGAACCTGGGGTCATATGTAAAGTAAGCCATTGCTGTTGTAGGAGGGCTGAGGGACTTCAATTGTGATATTTAAGGTCCAAAGGAAGGTGATATGAAAACCTAATGAAAAGGAAGGCTATTACAACAGTGTAGCTCTGCTGTCTTCAGGACTCTCACACCTGCCACTCTAGTGGATATCTGAAGGACAAAAGTGGCCAGTCATCTACAGTGGACCTTCCTGCAGACAGTCTTGAATAAGAGGGGTCATGAGTTCCTAGGTGTCTAGGTCTCCAACCATCTCCATGGCTGCCCTGGGCTGATCAGGCATTCTGGCTTCCAGTTTGCAAAAGATGCTGAGCACCGTGGAAATGACTGCTGGCATCCTCAACTCCATCCACTCATTCAGTTCCCACTTCTCCCAAGCCTCTGGCATGGAGCACAATCACACAGAGATCAAGCCTTCTTTCTAGTCTTTGATCCACGAGGCTCCCTAAGTCTGGACAATGTTAGCAGCACCACCCTTCTTCCTTACCTTAAAGCAATAATCATGGCAGCAGATGCCAAGATGCTCTAGGGTAATCTTTGGACAGTCTCTGATCTCCTGGTTGCAGTAAGTACAGATCCCTCCAGTTGTTCTGTGAGATGAAAAACAAGAACCTGGCAATCAGGCTGGCATGCAGGCTACTGATGTGATGCAGCCAGACCCTCTGATTTGACACAAACAGCCCTATATGCCTGTATTCTCAGCCTGCCACCTTTTTCTGCAGTGTGAAATTGGTTACATATCCCTTGGCTGGGCCTAGGTTTACTATAGACCTTCATGATATTTCCAGAAATTGGTCATGTATCTTCACCGTACTCACAATCATATGTGTGGACCCCTTGGTTTGATTCTTATTCCAGGCAGCTTACCTCTCCCTGACCCCTTGCCTGGCATGCTGGGGGCACTACTCTCCTCTAGAACAGGAAGACCCATGCCTTCTTCTATAGGACATGTGCCCTTGTCTTCCCTACCTGGCCCCCTGTCTTCATGATGCTTCCCTTCATGCCTGGGGCCACTAAGCCCTGCCTCTCAGACCCTACACTCTTGGACCCACCCTGCCCCATGATACTCCAATGACCATCCCAAAGACAGTCTGGCTGTAGATTCTGATGGGACATCATGTTGGAGTTCTAGATACCGACTTCTAGGTTGAGTATCTTCCCACTTTGAGGGTCCCTGCTTTTGTTTCTGAGAGTCACCACTGCTTTTCCTCCTCAGAGGGAACCTGCTCAAAGTGCCTGCCTGCCATGATTCTTCAGGCATAAATTGGGAGTGCTTTCTTTCAGAGATTTGGATATGCTTCTGACAGAAGCCAGAGGTGGTGCTACCAACCTGGAGCCACACAGGATCCTCCTTTCAAGGGCCCAGAATTACCATGATCATCTCAGGTTTGGTCCCTCCATCATGTAGGGCTCAGTCTCTTAACAGTGTTGCTAAAGACTCCTGCCTTAATCAAAATCCTGTTCCCCCCCCCCACCCCCCCCATGTATTTTACCATCACCAGTTTCAGCTCACAGTTAGTCAGATAACACAGTAGAAATACCCCTGACCTGGGAGTAGTCATGGACCTGGGATTTAGTCCTGGCTCTGCCACTAACTCCCTGTGTAACATAAGGTACATTATTTATTCTTTTTAGGCTTGTTCCCTTCACTGTGACCTGAGTGAACTGCATCTCTAAGACTCCTTTCTCCTTTATTTCAAGAATTTAAAAATATGACTTCTTTATCATTAAGACCATCCTGTGGCCACTGTCATCTAGTGACAGCTTTAAAAACTGCTGAATAAAGCAATGTCTGCACCTTCATTGAATTCACATGAATGGCTCTCTCTGGCTTCTTGATGATAGCAACCCATTTTTCCTCACTTTCCACCTATTGCTGTCTTTTGTAGTTTAGTTTTTTTTTTCTTTCTGGTCATATTTACAGGTTAATTAAGTGATCATTTAGGTTCTAATTCCAAGGGCCTCTCCTGCTAACATGAGCTCCCTGGGCCTTCAGGCATCATAATTTCCCTTCTCAGTAGCCTTTTGAGTTTGCCCTCTTTGTCTTAGCTGGGTCCAAAGGCTTTAGTCGCCACAAGTGTGACATCCCAAGGACAGATCTGCAAGTGGATCAGAAGCAGCCAAATGGAAGACAAAAGCAAATAGACTTAGTGTGGAAATGTCTCTCAGCTGTTTCTTCTCTGTAGACCTGAGAGCTCCCTGGAAAGATAGTAGACTTACCTTTCGGAGTACAGAGAGCTGTCACATGCAGGTTTCTTCTCCACATCACATGAGTCTTCAATGCTTCTAATGCTGCAGAGAGTGTGATGGGGAAGAAGAGGGCAGAAGATGGGAACCAGATGACTACCACACTCATGAGCGGAAATGCTTTTATAATATTTTTAATCCTGTGGCCACAAGCTGAGACATGGTTCTGCATGGCCAGCCATCATCTGTTATGCTGAAGGGCAGTGGAAGCTTTGAAATTGGTGCCAGGGAGGCATAATTCTCTTGGAGAAGGGCTCTTGCATGGGGGCAAAGAATACCTGCCATGCTGAGGAAGATGACAAGGGCGGTGGCCACGATTCTTAAGGCTGTGTATTCCAGGAGGCACCCTCCCAGATTCACTGACCAGTAGGAAAGGATCATGGCTCTTCTCCTCACATATGCGTCTGGGTTATAATGTGAGTCACTAAGAGCCCACTCACAGCAGAAATCAGACGTTAGGAATGGGAGCAAACAAAAGAAGGAAAGATTCTGACATATTACCTGTGTTTGAGTTACAGGGGGAATTGGGTTGAAGTTTTTTTTTTTTTTCCGTTTCGCATCTTCATTTTCAATATGACTTTTGATAATAAACACAAATGATTTAAAAAAAAAAAACCTATTGTCAGGGAAGTGTGACCAGCTACAAGCCATGGGGTACACTTTAGTGAAGCTGCCATTCTCACAGGAGCCATGTGGTGGCTATGAGAGGTAGCCAGAAAAACTGCTGCTCTGAGGTTAAGTGATTTGCCTAAGGTCATGCTTGGAGTAAGGAATGAGCTAGAATTTCAGTCCAGGTTCTGGTTTTGTGTGTGTGTGTGTGTGTGTGTGTGTGTGTGTGTTTTTCTCAGCATTAAGCTTATCTCTAAGCTTCCTGGAAGGTAAAGAAAAAGGGGGAAACACAATACACTACACAATCCTCCAATAGAGAAACTCTGCTTTTTTCATAAGACATAACATTTTAACTGAATGTAAACTTCAATTTTAAAATAAATTTAGATAGGGTGCCTAGGTGGCTCAGTCAGTTAAGCGTCTGACTTCGGCACAGGTCATGATCTCACAACTCGTGAGTTTGAGCCTCGTGTTGGGCTCTGTGCTGACTGCTCTGAGCCTGGAGCCTGCTTCAGATTCTGTGTCTCCTTCTTTCTCTTTGCCCCTCCCCTGCTCATTCTCTCTCTCTCTCTCTCTGTCTGTCTCAAAAATAAACATTAAAATTTTTTCAAATAAATGTAGTTGCCATATGGTAAGAATTAAAGTTTACAGAGGAGTGGGAATGACAGAAGAAAACCCAGGAGACAGAGTTCAGTCGAGTAACACTCCTAGAGGCAAATGCTGGATGGCAGGGACAGCTCCCTCGGGGGTGCTGGGGTTTTTGCATATATTATTTCTAATCTCAAAACCTCCCTAAAAAAAAAGCTATAGAGTCAGAAAACAGATCAGTGGTGGCCAGGGGCTGTGGCTGGTGGTGTGGGAGACTGCTAATGGTTATGGGGTTTCCTTTTGGGGTGATGAAAATTGGATTGTATTGTGGTGATGGCTGCACACATGATGAATGTACTAAACGCCCCTGAATTGCACACTTTAAAGAGGGAAGTTTATGACATGTGAATTATATCTCAATAAAGTTACTGACAAAAACCACCCTTAGGAGTTACAGGTGAAGAAACTGAGGCTCAGAAAGGTTGAGAATCTTGTGAAAAATGACCCAACCAATGGGGGCCAAGCTAGGGCTTGAACTTGACGTCCATGTCCATTATCCCACAACACCCATGAAAGCTGGTCCAGAATCCCCAGAGGCCCAATCATGAAATAAGGCCAGGGAGCTCCTCTCTGTAACTAAAATCCTCATTCTAGGCATGAGATGATGTGCCATAAAAAAAGATTCCTGGGAGAATGGTATGTCAGTGCAGGTTACTTTTTAACTGAGGTGGCATGAAGGTATCCTTCCATGTGGCATCAGGAAACAAGCAGATATAGAGATGATGAGTGAAAAGTTAAGTATATATCAGGAACTGTAGTCAAATGTGTGCTCAAATGTGTGCAATTCATGGCCATACAGTGGCCATACAGCAATTAAATGTGAGGAACCCTGGCATGCTGGAAAGGGCATGGGAGCTTAAGAGATGGTAGGGATGGGATTAACTAGATAAAAGAGATTGGAACAGGATGGAATTAACTAGATAAAAAGTCCTTAAGGGCTTTGCCAGCTCTGTAAAGAGGAATGCTCTTAGAATTTCACTAAAGAAAGCTTGTGGTCTACCAAGAAAAAAAGTTAGGCAGAAGGGCATGGCACTGGAAGTAGGATGTAGGATGAATTAACAATAAAGGGGAACACAAAGGTACCAACTTAGGTAGAACAGCTTGAAATCATGTCTGTGGGCAATTATATCATTCATCCATTCAATAAATGATTACACAGAAACAATTCTGGGCCAAGTCCTGGATGAGGTATGGGGGATTCAGGATCATGGAAGGATCTGAGACTTGCTCTTACCTGTCATAGCATGAAGACACTGGCTTCCCAGAGGATACCTCACTAGCATTCATGTATTCCTTCATGAAGAGAATCCCTTTGCTGTAAAAGAAGCACAGTGAAACAGAAAGAGGTATACTGAAAGATTCCAGGGCACTGGGTCTTGCCCAAAGGAGGGTCCCAAGGCTGGGAGGAAGTGAAGGAGCTTATGGTAAGCCCTGGAGGTAGAGGCACTGATGGGCTCTAAGTGCCACCAGGCAAGGAAAATGGCAAACAGGAACTGCTGCACTGTTGAGTGTACTATTGACTGGGCTGAAATTGGAGGCTGTGGGTTCAGCTTGCTGTGTACAAATGTGAGAGTCCTAGAAAAAGGCTCCCTGCAATCAATGTCAACATGCTTTCCTTCATGAAGATCTCTATACTATGGGAGGCTTGTCCCCCACCTCCCCAGACTGCAGTAAAGTGAACTTCCTATCTTCCTCTCTGACTGCATTTTCTTTCCCTTTTGCCCTGGCTCCGGATAGTTTCCAAACTGCAGCCGTAGACTGTTGGTCCTCGCCACTCTGTGTGAATCTCTAGCAACAATAAAATCTCTCCCTTCTCAATCCTAGATAGGCCTGTGGCAAAACTGGAAGTCAGCATCATGTTTGGCTTACCATGGCCCTGAATTTGACCTTTATCAAGCTGGCTTGATGTTACCAGAGAGTGCTCTGATCTCCTTGCCCTCCCCATACACACACATCACTCAGCCTTCCTGCAATAGCTAATACTGCAGGTGAGGCCAGGAGTGTAGGTGAAGCAGTAAATAATGTGAGAGAGACAGACATAGGCCCTGGCCTCAGTGGGCTTTCTCTGGCCTTACCACATGTTTCTCAAGAGATATTATTAGCAAGGTCCTACAGATGGCAGAGCACCAGGAATTGACATTGGGATAGGGGGAAGGGGATACAATGAGACTCTGTCCAGGCTTACAAACAGGACTTTAAATTGGGGAGATCTGGACTACACTATGTGGTCCCTTAACCAATGGGATTCTGGGAATTGGGGGTGGCACTAGAGCTAATATTAGGGAAGTGACATGGGGCAAAAACCAAGTCGTTTAGCTCTTGGGGGGATATAGCCCAGAGAACACCTCCCAGGTTGTCTCTTATTACCTGGTTGAAATGGAGTCCAATTCACTTGGGGAGGCTGGGATGTAAACATGAGGCTGCTCAGTAGAAGGAGTAATGGTAACAGTGACCATACAGCTCGAGGGGTTTTTCACCCTGAAGGAAGTAAATGGAGGGGGGAGTGTGTCGACACTGAGAGCTGACATCTGCCAAGGTCAAATAGGGTTTGGGGGCCTACTCCTGAGACTGCCACTTGAAGGAGTTTAAAAATATGCCAATGTTTTTAAAACAACCCACAGAAATCACGGAGCTTCTACAAGTTATACAAGTCTCCTGAGATCAGTGGGTAGAACCACTTACTTTATAGATAAGAAAATCCAGGTTAAGTGACCCAGGTAACACTGAGTCAGTGGCAAGACCTTAATCTTACAGATCCTCCCAGAACTCCCCAGTACAGCCAAAGGCCTTGGCCTGTGACTCACTTGATTTGAGCAGAGCCATTGGGCTGACAGGGACTTGACAGAACAACTCAACTCACCTCCTCACTGGATGGGACAGCCCCTTCCTAGGATCAGCTCTATCCCCCATCCTCCAGAGAACTCTCTGGAGAATAGAAGGCCAAGGGAGAGAGGGACAAATGAATTTAGGCATCACCAAAGAAGAGACTTGGATGTACCTCATTCTGGAAGGCATTTGCCATAAGCAGAGGCAAGAAACTGACACATATGATGGTTTTTCTGAATCTCCACCATTTGACTGTACACACAGTCCTTGGCCTAGAATCTGACCTCCTAGCTGGCTTGCAAGGTTTTTCTCTGGCCAGGCCCTTACTTGCTTTCACTCTGCCTGCTCCTGGGTCACCAGTCCCATACCCAAAGCTGCCATAGCTGCTTGCTGCCATCGAAGGCATTCTGTTGGGCACCACCACTGCCCCCCCCCACAACTTGTGCCATCCCCTTTACATCTACCCACTCTCCAGTGGCCTTGGGACAGCTCTATAGGCATAGATTGTCTTGGGATGAATTTGGCTTCTCTCCAACATGTTGCTGCTCAGATCAAGTTCTGGATGTGGCCGTCTCAACTTGACCCGGGTTCTGGGGTATCACTCCCTTGTTACAGAATCCAGTGTTCAAGACCTCAACTAGTTTAACAGTGGGCAGGAGCGAGAACAATCATGATCTTGTACTGCCTAGCTCCCCAGCTTCATCTTCTCAAACTATTTTTTTTTTAATTTTTTTTTCGATGTTTATTTATTTTTGGGACAGAGAGAGACAGAGCATGAATGGGGGAGGGGCAGAGAGAGAGGGAGACACAGAATCGGAAACAGGCTCCAGACTCTGAGCCATCAGCCCAGAGCCTGACGCGGGGCTCGAACTCACGGACCGCGAGATCGTGACCTGGCTGAAGCTGGACGCTTAACCGACTGCGCCACCCAGGCGCCCCTTCTCAAACTATTTCATACACACACACACACACACACACACACACACACACACCTGAATCTCTAGCCACACTAACTGCCCTAATACCTTTGCACATAACACCACCTTCTCCTTTCAGAAACCCTTCTAGAGTACTTGTTCTATCACCTCAGAGAAGTACCTTGCTTTGGGCAAAGTACCCTGCTTTTATGTGCCCAGTGATCCTATGCCTATTCTTATGTCACCCTATGATATAGGAATGAACCATGGAAACTAGAGGAGGTGGACTGACTGGGAAGGGAGGCCCCATGGGAAAGACAGATGGGGGATAAAATACAGAGCCAGAGTATGAGGAGAAACTGAATGTATGAGGAAGGAACAACTAGCAAGTGTCTGGCATTCTGTGGTCCACACTTAGCACAATAATTGAAGGGACAATAGAGCTGAAGGGGCAAGGTAAAAAAAAAAATCCCGTGGGGATCCTTCTAGGACTGCAGTGTGAGCACCACATTGCCCCACCAGGAAGGCTCTTATTCTTGGTCAGGTAACATCCCACCTCCCTCCCATAGTCTCCTCCTCCTAATCTAAGATCCAGCCCTGGCCCTGCCCACCTGGTCTCCTTTCCCCCTCCTCACTTCACTTCTTATCCTCCATCCACAGAACCCTTCATTTATTCTCTTCTTCTCAGCTCCCTCTCCCATCGTGGTCTCTGTACATGCTGCCCATGTTGTGTCTTTCCAGGTTGTTTTCCAGTCTGGCTCCTCCTTGTGCTTCAGGCCTCAACTTAATTGTATCCTTCTTAGCAGAAAAGCTTTCCCCAACAATCTGAGCTACAACACTCCTTGTCCCAGCCTCTCTCCATCAGAGGACCCAGTTTCCTTCTTTTATGGGCTTATCACAAATGGAGAAGCACAAATAGAGCACAGTCATTAGCAGCACAGGCTCTGGACTCTGACTGTCTGGGTACTGATCCCTGTTAGACCACTGCCTGGCCAAATGACTGTTGGCAAGCTATTTAACCTCCCTCTGCTTTAGTCTCTGCTCTGTAGATCTGAGATAATAGCACCTCTCCTATAGGGTTGGTGTGAGAATGAGACAAGTACACATAAGGCACAAGAACAGTGCCTGCACATTTTCAGTACACAGCAGACACTAATGGTTATCATTATGGTATTGTTGCTATAGTGTTTATTCATTGGTACACCATGCAGTCCCTAAGGGTGAGTGCTCAGGGGCCTGGCCTTCTTGCTCAATGTGGGTGATACCTACAACTGGTTCATAGAAGGTACTTATATATTGTCTCTAGGCCCATGGCTCTTGCTTACTTCCAAACTCATGGTTGCTTTGGGGAAAGATCTCCAGAGAGCAAAGAGAACACCCAAATGTTGCCATGCAAGGCCACCCTTGTAGGGGTGGCAGTGGAAGAGTTCATCCAACATCCTTTATCTCTGATAGGAGCTCCTGTTCACACCAGGGTACACCTTCCTCAGAGATCTTCCATCTCCATTAATGGCAAAGGCATTCCACATCCCTCTCCTGACCCAGATCTTCATGCTCCAGATGGCTGCCAGAAAACATGGTACTCTGTTCACCTTCTCTGTTCCAGGATTGGTCTAAAAGATTTGATGCTATGGCTTCAAATTGAAGCCCATGAGGACCTACCCCTCGGCACTCATTGCTGGTCACATTTCCACTGCTTCCTGGCCACTTATATCTGCAGAGAGGATTGCCTAACATGTTAGGGTTTGTTCTGGATGGTGGCTCATGAGAAGAAACCTGGGCTATAGCAGGAGCCCAGCACAGTGTAACACTTACCTGCTGGTGTGGCTTCCCAGTTCCACAAGCTCCTCTGGTCTTCTGGGGCTGCTCTGCTGCTCTGGGGTTCTGGGGGCTGCAGGCTGCTGGAAGGGTGCAGCTGGGTCCCCGTGGCCACCTCTCAGGACTGCAGGCCTCTCCTGCCAGGTCTCTCCCACTTGGGCAGGCACATTCTTGTCTTCAGAATCAGCCAAGGTGCTGAGGAACAGTGAACACCTTTATGGAATGAGTCTTTGGGACCAGTCCTTCTTCACCCACTGCATGCTGATGTCACCTATTGTGGCCATAATGGGCTCCTCTCCCAGAGGGTGGGGAAGAGAGGAGCCCAGTACAGCCCCCACCCCAGGGAGAGTCTATCTCCCTTTTGGGGGTATCCCAGCACTACTGCTTCCTTCCTACTGACAAAGACAGTCTCCAAGAACACGTGATGACTTCAATGAGGTTTTAAAAGACAGTCTTCTTCTAGTTGGAAACAGTGGCATTCCTGTCCCCTTCTTCCACTGGCATCTTTTTTTTTTTTTTTGCAAGGCTTCCCTGTCCCAGTCCATCTGTCCTGTCTAAAAAGCCTCAAGCCATCTGGTCTCTTCCCCAAGCAGCAGTGTTCAGATGACTTATGAACACAGCCAGTCCTGCCAGTGCCCAGCTGTCTGGGAAGGAGCATCTCCCCTAGGCTCCCCTGGCAGGCTGGGTGAAGGTGAAAAAAGGGAAACAGACCATAATGCTCATTGGGTTTTCAAAGGGGCTAATGACCCCAAAATTGGTCACCAATACCCAAAGACTCTGGGCCAGGCCAGAAATATGTGCCTTGGCCCATTTGTGATCCTCAAGTGCCATCTGGTGGCTGGTATGGGCAAGCCTGCAGCATAAGCCCTACCCAGTACATCCATTTTCCTTATAGATGGTCACATTTCCCAGCAGGCACCGCGGTCAGAACGCTTGGTTGCAGGAAATGGTGGTGCTCCCGGTGCGCACACACTGAAATGCGTAGGAGCCTGACGCACACACAGGCAGGTGCATACATATTGTTGTGGCAGCCTTATTTTCACAGCTAGGAGTATGTGTCTTCTTTATTGCTAAGGAGTCCTAGCTATTATTACGAGGTAATAGTATTTTCATCCTCTTTTTACGATGAACAATCTGGGGTGACGGTCCCTTTGCAGGTCATAAATGGCAGTCAGAATGGAACTTCAGCCTCCCTCCCTGGGAGATGAAAGTGGAATGGAAGCAGAAGCAAGAGCTCATCACTTAAATGTCCGAGATAAGAGATAAGTATACAAACAAAAGTTTGAAAAACCTCAGTTTCTTCCCCCACAACAGCCAAACATTATGAAAGAGCTGTCTACACTTACTCTTGTGACTTCTTGACACATTTTTCCTTGTCAACTCTCCACTGAAGCTACTATTGCTTCCCAATATCCCAAATTATCTGTGCCTAGTACCAATATCTGGTCTTTTAGCCCCTGCCCCCACTGGGGACTCTCCAGAATCTCAGGGACCCCAAAAGCAATCATCTGAAGCTGAAAAACTTAATTTGAAATGCTCTGGATATTTTATCCAGGTAGATGAGCCTTGGAGACAACCCAAGGGCTGTTTCTCTTGCTCCCTCACTCCTCGCTTACATACAGTCTCCATAAGATTACTATCAAGGCAAAAAAAATTCTTAAAGCCCTCCTCTACAAATAGTAGTAGGAACCTTTAGCCTTCATGTGGAGCAGGTAACCTCAATTTACCCATCCACCAGAAACACAATTCTCATAAAAAATAAAGTGGGGCAAAGACAAGAGCTAACTCATAAAACCAGTGAATTTGTGTGTGTGTTTATACCTACTCATGGCTGAAAATTTAGAATTAAAGCCATGAGATCTCTGCTTGTGTTTGTCTATATGTTTATGTATATATGTTTGTGTATATATGTATGTTATATATGTATAATATTTTCTTATCTCTGGAGAGTATACCAAATTAATTTATAAAATCCCTTATCTTCTATTCCAAATAACTTAGAGATAAATAAGCATTACACAAATTAAACATTCCTAAAACTTTCATAAATTAAAGAAACAATTTCTAATACTTTGTAAAAAAAACAGTATTCTTATAAAAACTAACACAAATGGCTAAAATTAACAACACTGGAAACAACAGATATTGGTGGGGATGTGGAGAAAGTTGGTGGGAATGCAAACTGGTGCAGCCACTATGAAAATAGTATGGAATTCCCTCAAAAAGTTAAAAATAGAACTATCCTACCATTCAGCAATTTCACTATTTGGTATTTATCCAAAGGATATAAAAATATTGATTCAAAGGGGCATATGAACACTGATGTTTATAGCAGCATTATCAACTATAGCCAAACTATGGAAAGAACCCATATGTGCATTGACTGATGAATGGATAAAGAAAATGTGTGTGTGTGCATTTATATTACTCAACCATTGAAAAGAATGAATTTTTTCCATTAGCAACAATGTTGATGAAGGTAGACTGTATTATGCTAAATTAAAAAAGTCTGTCAGAGAAATACAAATTTCATATGATTTCACTCATATGTGGAATTTAAGAAACAAAAGAGATGAAGATAGGTGAAGATAAAAAGAGAGAGGAGAAAACCATAAGAGATTCTTAATTTTAGAGAACAAACTGTGGGTTGATAGAGCACTGTGGGTGGGTGATGGGCTAAAAGGGTGACAAGTATCAAGGAGGGCACTTGTGATGATCATTGTGTGTTATATGTAAGTGATGAATCACTAAATTCTACACTTGAGACCAATTTTGCCATATATGTTAACTCACTAGGTTTTAAATAAAAACTTAAAAAAGAAAACAAAAACCCAAATATTTTAAAAATTCTAGTTCAAAAACTTAGCTAAATCTTTGGCAAACAAGACTAGTTTAATATTCCTAATTTAATGAAAACAGCTGTCTTGTGAGTTATCAACCTTACATATAATAGAAGCACATATTTTAATTTTTTAATATTTATTTTTTTCAGAGAGTGCAGGTGCACGAATGGGAGATGGGGCAGAGAGAAAGGGAGACACAGAATCAGAAGCAGGCTCCAGGCTCTGAACTGTCAGCACAGCCCGATGCGGGGCTCAAAACCATGAACTGCGAGATGGTGACCTGAGTGGGAGTCAGATGTTTAACCGACTGAGCCACCCAAGCGCCCCACACATATTTTTATTATACTTGAGTATAATCTTCATAAACTTAAATGGTTTAACTAGCCACGTAAGCTAGTATTACATCTACTAGATGTAATATAGTATTATATTATAAAATATGTTATTTTACATTTTATATATATAATCTATGTATAGATTATAAAAATATAAATTTGCTTTTAATCAAACTGAGGCATTATTCTGACAAACTCTATTTCAGCAGTAATTATGTTTTATAACATGTCAGCTTAAAGAGAGTTTCCAAGATCTTTTTGGAAATTTAAAACCTTAGATTGATGCTAAATTAAATTAACAGATATTTACTAAGTACATAGATCATTTCTAAGTAAGATAAAATACTGAAATATTAGTTACTAAGCCTAAGTTTAAGTTTATATACTTCTTGCTTCTTATTTTTTATAGTACAGAGAGGTTGTACATACATTTGCTAATAAATGTGTTCATTTGTGCACACTGAAAACTTATACTATAAAAAAGTATATAACTATAAAGTTTTATAAGATATATATTCATAAGCTTTACTAGTCTACTGCAAAATGCTGGTATATGACAGATAATTCAAAATGATCTACATCTATTTTTCTCTGTAAAATAAAAGTTACTAACAGTTTAAAATTATAATCAATATGTATAAATGAGACTACTAAAAGTAATAAGGCAAAGGAGAACAACTTTGTATGCAAGGTATGAAAATATGTTTTTGTTAAGGAAAAAGAATAAGTTTGTCCTAAATTAAAATAGTGGTTCCAAAAATTTTGTAAGATGAAATGTAAGTAGATTTAAAATTATAAAATGTTTACAGAAAAGAAATTTTATTTGCCGTGTTCAAAATTTACTAAAATTAAGTGCGATTATTTATAGTATTTTCTTTTTTTTTTAAATTTTTTCTTAACGTTTACTTGTTTTTGAGACAGAGAGAGACAGAGTATGAACGGGGAAGGGTCAGAGAGAGAGGGAGTCACAAAATCTCAAAGAGGCTCCAGGCTCTGAGTGGTCAGCACAGAGCCCGATGCGGGGCTTGAACTCATGGACCGCGAGATCATGACCTGAGCCGAAGTCGGACGGTTAACCAACTGAGCCACCCAGGCGCCCCGAGATTATTTATAGTCTTTTCAAAAAGAGCTCTGGTATCAAGTATTGTACCAATAAAAAACTAAAATTTGGCTTTCTCTCTGTTAAAATAGTAAGAGTTTCTTGGCTCACTGGCGTGCTCTTAATAAAAGGTTAATGATAGTTCTTTTTTCCCCAGTAATCTATTGTGAAAATGAATAAAGGAAAACCTCACTAAAATGGAGTCAAGAGGCCAGAAGTGGGAGCTCTCATGCCCTACCAGTCCTTGGTGTCCTTTGCAAAACTAACAGGAAGAAGCCTAAATTTTACTATTCCAGCAGGAGGAAGATTTTCTCCTTGCCCAGCAATAGCCCAGCTCATGAGAGACTGTAACAACGCAGCCAAGGAAAAGCCGCTACACTTCAAAGTCCCAGTTCACTCCAATGGACTTTTTGTTTATAACAAGCCCTCCCAATATTTCTCCTTTTTCTGTAATAGAGTGTTCCTCTTCTTTGCTCTTGGACTTGCTTTTACTGTAGCTTGTGTGTCCTGAATTGCAATTCTCTGCTATTCCTGAATAAACCCATTTTGCTGATAAAATAACTGCCTTTTTATTTTTAAGGTGAACACTATCTAAAAAGAAAAGTTTTTATGTCTTATCAAACTAATATCCTATTCTTTATGTTGACTTTATCATGTCAATTATTTTTAAAAGGCCTTAATTTTAAAGGAGCTAATAGTCTTTGGGCACCTGGGTGGCTCAGTTGGTTAAGTGTCCGACTTTTACTCAGGTCATGATCCCACAGTTCGTGAGTTCGAACCCCATGTCGGGTTCTTTGCTGACAGCTCAGAGCCTGGAGCCCGCTTTGGGATTCTGTGTCTCTCTTGCTCTCTGCCCCTCCCCAGCTCACGCTCTGTCTCTCTCTCTCTCCTTCAAAAATAAACATTTAAAAAAGACATTTTAAAGGCTCTAACAGTGTTTACAATCATTTTATCTCCTATGTTTACTTTAATTTTTTCTCACACTTTGATTTAATAGATAACCAAGAAGTATTTCTCACTATCCCATAATCGTTATCAAATCCTCAAACCTTCTGATAACATTTGACATTTTGACTTCCCCAAATCAAATCTGAAATATCTTTTACACCTAAAACTGACACTGAGATTTCCCAGAGGGCCCAAAGGATTTATTTGTTCTTTTACCTTGCAACAAGAACAGTACTAAAACTATTCATATTTATTTAATATTGTATACATTTTATGGGAAGCAGTGTCAAATCCAAAAATAATAATGCTGAGCCTTTCTTAAGTTAAATTTTAAGGGGTAAAATTTTAATTATACAAATATTTCAGAAATTATATAAAATTCCTAGCGATCTGTCAGTGCCCTCACTGTCTTGGTGCTGCCTTGCCAAATATTAAAACAAGAGCACAATGTTATCAGTCATAATTTTAATTATTTTTAAAATGTAACTTAAATATGTTCTTACTACCATATGTCTGTCTTTCACTAGCTTGAAACGTTCCCTTTTAAAAGGGTCATTGCCACTACTGTGACTGAGGAATCCATTTCACCAGTTAAGTCATCTAAGAAATCCAACAGGTTCTTCTCCTTCCCCCAATTACATTGTTCTTATCATTGTCGGTCATCTGACATAACAGATCTAATGAACTATAAAAATTAAAGTTTGCTAAACTGATGGAAGAACTCAATCTCCCATGGCCTAAGGTTTTATCCTTGGCACCGATCATCCTCTGATCCTCTCCTGGGTCTCACTCTACTTCCCTCTGTACTTCCTGGAATCCTAGGCTAGTCAAGCCTTGTCCATTAAGAGGTTTGCACTGACTGGCTTTCCTCCTGGTGCATACCCAGAATGGGGCTAAGGGTCTCCTTGCTACTTTGGACTATTAGCAGTAGTGGTCTTTAATCCTCTGGCCCAAAGACTCCAAATGTCACCTTTGCTGATGAGCCTAGTCTACTGAGATGCCATGCCAGTGACCTGACCCAAAGACTAGAAATGAAAGACCTAGATGGTTCTAGAAAGAAGACTTTTCCACAACCACACCCAGCATGCTTGGGGATTTGGACTACTAGGAGGAAGAAAGGAAGGACAGTTGCAAGGTGTTGCTGCCCACCTTAGAAACAGAACAGTATTGCCAGGGCAATTCATCCAGGCTGGCCCAGGCAGAGCCTCTGTCTGAAAGTCAGAGCCTTGCCTCAGGTGCCCTTGTCTGCCAATCTGTTTGAGTGTGCCGCTTTGTCTTGGTGTCTCCATGGACTGGGCATTTGCTCAATTGGCTCCAGGCAGTTAGAAAATAGCTTGGAGATACTCTGCCCACAACCTGGGCCAGAAGGGGTCACACACTCCACTCTTCCACTTGAGCCACAAAGATGACTTTCTGACTTAACACTTCTCTTTCCCTTACTGCTCCCCCAAGTCTTATCAGCTGCCCAATTCTGGGTCCATTTTACTTACTTAAGAGTTCTATTTCCATATCCACAGCTACCACCCTAGCTGGGGCCCCATCATCTCTTACTTAGTGGACTAGAACCTCTTAGTAGCTCTTCTCCCTGCCTCCACTCTTCCCACGTCCAGTTCATTCTTCACACTGCCACCATAGAAATAAGTCTAAAGCACAACTCTGACCATTTCACTTCCCTGCTTAAAACTTTTCTGGCTCTGGGGGTGCCTGGGTGACTCAGTCAGTTAAGCGTCTGACTTCAGCTCAGGTCATGATCTCGCGGTTTGGGAGTTCAAGCCCCACATCAGGCTGTGTGCTGACAGCTCAGAGCCTGGAGCCTGCTTTGGATTCTGTGTCTCCCTCTCTCTGCTCCTCCCCCACTCATTCTCTCTCTCTCTCTCTCTCTCTCTCTCTCTCTCACTCTCTCTCTCTCAGAAATAAAGAAACTTTAAAGAAATTAAAAAAAAAAACTTTTCTGGCTCTGTTTGTCGGAATGTAAAATGGTAGAAAACAGCCACCATGGAAAATAGTATGGCAGTTCCTCAAAAAATTTAAACATAAAATTACTATATGATCCAGCAATTCCACTTCTGGGTATATACCCAAAAGTACTGAAAGCAGGATCTCAAAGAAATACTTCTACACCCATGTTTATTACAGTATTATTCAAATTTGCCAAAAGGAGGAAGCAGCTCAAGTATCTCTTGACACTCGAATGCATAAACAAAATGCAGTATGTCTATATTATGGAATATTATTCAGCCTTAAAAAGGAAGGAAATACTGACATATGCTACAACATGGATGAACCTTGAAGACATTATGCTAAATGAAAGATGCTACTTACAAAAGGACAAATACTGCATGATTCCACTTCTATGAGAAACCTAGAGTAGTCAAGTTTATAAAAACAGAAAGTAGAATGATGGGTGCCAGGGGCTGGGGAGAAGGGGATGGGAGTTGTTTCATAGAGAAAGAGTTTTAGTTTTGCAAGACAGAAAGAGTTCTGGAAATTGGTTGCATAACAACATGAATGTACTTAATGCCACTGCCTTTATACTTTAAAATGGTTAAGATGGGGCGCCTGGGTGGCGCAGTCGGTTAAGCGTCCGACTTCAGCCAGGTCACGATCTCGCGGTCCGGGAGTTCGAGCCCCGCGTCGGGCTCTGGGCTGATGGCTCAGAGCCTGGAGCCTGTTTCCGATTCTGTGTCTCCCTCTCTCTCTGCCCCTCCCCCGTTCATGCTCTGTCTCTCTCTGTCCCAAAAATAAATAAACGTTGGAAAAAAAATAAAAAATAAATAAAATGGTTAAGATGGTAATTTTTATGTTTTGTGAATTTTACAACAATTAAAAAAAAAACTTTCCTAACTCTTCTTTGTCCTCTGGAGAAAGTCCAAGCCCTTGTTAAGGCATAAAGATCAGACTCTGCGCATTTGTGTCTGTGATCATGTGGCTTTTGTCCTTTATTAGATTGATATGGTGTGTTGGTGACCCTAAGACCACCACCAGGGTCCATGATTCACTAGGAGCACTCCCAAGACTCAGCATATAGTCATCCTCAAGGCTAAGATTTATGACCATAGAAGGATAGCAAGCAAAATAAGTGAAAGAAAAAGGTGATATTTTCATTCACGACCCAAGATTATTACTGGAGACTGGTCACATAGGAACTTTCTGCCTGGCACGAACCAAAACTCCCAACTCCCAGGAGGCAAGCAGACACTCAGCATAAAGCACGTTGTTTGTACAAGTGATCCAGGTGGTCACCCTTAACTCTCATCATTTAGGGAAATTTTCATATCAGTGTAGAGAACTGTTTACCTCTTCAAGTTCCTGGAGGCCAGCCAAGGGCACATCTTGCAAGCAGCCCTTTCTTTCTTTTTTTTTTTTAATTTTTTTAATGTGTATTTATTTTTGACAGAGAGAGACCGAGCATGGGCGGGGGAGGGGCAGAGAGAGAGGGAGACACAGAATCCAAAGCAGGCTCCAGGCTCTGAGCTGTCAGCACAGAGCCCGACATGGGGCTTGAACTCACAGACCGCGAGATCATGACCTGAGCCGATGTCGGACGCTCAACTGACTGAGCCACCCAGGCACCCCACAAGCAGCCCTTTCTAAAGAGAGTAGCCTCAGGCCTGCTAGGTTAACTCTTGTCTGCCCAACGCCAACTTTTCAACGGCTTTCTCATCATAAACCACAGTCATATCAAACCACAGGGTGCTGCGAAGCATGCAACACTGACATCTACCCTTCAGCACAGAAGATTACCCTTACTCCTGGGCCCCTCCTTCACCTCCTTACAAAGTGCTTCAAGAGGAACATGAACTGTCACCTCTGTGAAGCCTTCTCTGATTCCATGCAGCCAGCCAAGTCACATACTCCTACTATGCTGCCATTATAACCTATCCACGCCTCCTTGAGGTCAGTATCTCCAGTGCTTAGGACATGGCTTGGCATGGGCTAGTCATTAAGTAAAATATTGTTTAATTTTACAATGTGTGGCTCATTAACTCACAGAAAAAATCAAGGAGCCCACATTACTCTGTGTATTCCTTCCCCTGCCCTCCAACCTACATTTGTACTCATCCTTCCCTCCTGTTTCAAAAACAGAGCCCTCTACTTCTTTCCCAAGACTCTAGAACCCCACCCTAAGCCCACCATAAATTCAGTGACCATTAACCTTTGGATTTGCTCATTCTTTATTCAAATATCAAACTGTCTTTACCAACAGTGTACTTCCTTCCCTGGGAACATAGGCATGCACTCTAGAAAGCACTTCCTATCATCCTGTAGCTGTATTTATCTAATCACCCATCAAATTTCCATCACTTGCTGGCCAACATTTTAGAAAGAGTTGTATACCTCCACCAACTGCACCACCTCACCTCCAAATTCTTCCTCAATCCGCTATAAGTCAACCAAACCTTTCTGCCTCCCTGACCTGCCCTCCATTTAAGGCAGCCATAAACTCCATTCTACCAAATCCTGTGGTCTTATTTAAAGGTCCACAGCATACTGGAAAGTTAGCTCAGCCTAGCTTGGTTTCCATGACAGTACTCTTTCCAAGTTCTTCCATTTATCCAAAACTTTCTTTCTCAGTATCCCCTTTCAGATCCTCTTCTGCTACAAGACCTTTCAATATTATTTGCCAGAATTCTGACCCAATCTGCCTTTGTAGCTCTTATTTTTATCTTTTTTAATTGTATGGACTCAGAGTTTTAGGGGGCCAATAATTAACACCTCTTTTTAGACAAAAGAACAGAAAATGGAGATAAAGGTCCACTGATGAAGCTGATGGCTTTACACTCCCTCCAGGGAGTCACTATCCCAATCCCACTCATGGAGCAGGAGTTTGAACACCTTGGTGTGTGATGTGCCAGGTACTGGCATGAACATGGGGTAAGAGTGGGTCCCACTTGGGTCATGGCCCCTGACAACTCTCCAGCTCAGGTAGGCAGGGACCCAGCACAGTTTAATACTTACCTGCTGGCCTGGCTGTCCAGTTCCACAAGCTGCTCTGGTCTTCTGGGGATGCTCTGCTGCTCTGGGGTCCTGGGGGCTGCAGACTGCTGGGAGGGTGCAGCTGGGTCCCCATGGCCACCTCTCAGGACTGCAGGCCTTTCTTGCCAGGTCTCTCCCACCTTGGCAGCCACATTCTTGTCTTCAGAATCAGCCAAGGTGCTGAGGAAGAGTGAACACCTTTATGGAATGAGACTTCGGGACCAGTTCTTCTTCACCCACTGCATGCTGATGTCACCTCCTGTGGCCATAACAGGCTCCTCTCCCAGAGGGTAGGGAAGAGAGGAGCCCAAAGGCAGTCCCCACTTGTACCAGAGAAAGCATGAGCCTCTGATGATTTTGCCATACCCTCAATCTAGCAATGAGGAAGCGGATTCTCAGCTGTCTAGGCATCAAGGGAGATCTTTCTTCCTCCCTGGAATCACATCATGCCTACACTTGCACACCCTTCCATCCCCATCTGAGGTGCTTCCAATGGTCTCATTCTTTCTCCTGGTGCTTCCTCCTTAACCTCTAGTGTGATGGTGCTGCTGCCTGGAGGCCTCAAAGATGTTATATGACCACTAGGCCAGGGACACAGAGTCAGGCTAAACTCAACTCTCCCAACATCAGCAGCCTGCCTCCAATCACTGGTGAGGCTCCCCTGGAACAAGAAGATCACACTACCAGCTACCTCCAGCCCTAGGATCTTTTATTCATAGAAGTTAATCCCATAGTAGGTATGCTCCCTGCCTTCATGCTTCAAGTGGAGCAGTGACCATACTTTTGCAAAGTATGCCCTGAAAGCAATGCGACTCTTCAGCCTCAGGCGAGAGGAACAAAAATATCCCAGCAGAGACAATAAACTTACTACCACTTCCAGCTGCCCAGGCAGATCTGCAGGCAAGTGGGTGTTGTGTCTCCCTGTGCTGCTTCTACCCTAATGGTCTGCTGCAGCCCAGCCAGATACCAAAAGTGGTCTGCTCAGATAATTCCAGTCCCTTAGTCAGCAAGATACCCTGACACACCCACTCCACCCTTATCTGTGACATACATGCTTGAGCCAAAAACAAACCTGGAAGCCCAAAGAGCTCGTTTCCTGCCTCTGTAAGCCTGGAGCTAGCTTTGCCATGGACTTAATCAGAGTGCTGTCCCATCTCCTATCTGTTATAGAATTACAGTAACAGAGATTATCCTTATGAAGTTTGTGAATCAAGTCAAGATTTCTGCAAAGAGTAATTTTGGGGTCTACTGCAACACAGTGGCAAGTGGGTGAATAAGGTTCCTTTGCCCTAGGCCTCAGAGCAAAGCCACTATGATTATAGGAGTTGTAATCCACCTGACCTATAAAAAGTAAATCTTACTAAAACAGTCACAGGCAGTCTTGCTGAGCAATGTAATATCCCAGAGGTCTCCCATGCCCCTAATGAACTGCCTGGAAGTCACGTGCTTAGAGATACACCTGTAACTAGATCAAAGATCCAGTAGCCTAACACAGCTACTGCCAATTCCTGACACAATCAGACTCTCCACATGGAAGATAACAATACCTTACATTCTTAAACTACCCCCAAAAGACTCCTCTGCTGGTTGTCAATGGTTCTTCACAGTGAATACATGTGCTTAAAGTTCACATGCTTCTCATGCAGAAAGAACATAAACCTGAAAATCTGAGACTTGCAACATAACAAAGAGGAAAACAGCCTATGTTTTATATGTAAAGTCTAATAACAAAAGTTTGCTGGGGAAGAAATGAACTACTCTGTCTTATTAAATGAAATCAGGCCAATAAGCTGGTAAAAGGAAGCAGAGGCCAGTTTTCCCAGTGTTTTTTTGAGGTGGAAGGAGGCATTCCTCTGGGGCTGCTTTATTTAGCTTGAAGTCTTTTATAAAAGGAGAGTTTGACATAGTACTTTGTGCCAGGAAATGTTCTACATGCTTTTGACAAACTCACTTGACCCTCAGAACAACACTGTGTGATAGGAACTATTATTACCACTATTCTACCGTAAGGAAATACAAACACAGAGTGTAAGAGGAAGAAAGTTAGCATGTCTGACTCCATATTGCTTCTATTTCCCTTGCTACTGTGACCTATAGCTTAGAAACTTCTGTTTAGCCCTGCATGTAGGCATGCTACAGCTAAGATTTGCAAAAACCACTCTTTACCCAAAACTTACTTCACCCAGGGGGATAAGGAAGTATGCACAGAAATGACTATGCTATGTTTAAGATTTACAGGAACAACATGACCAAATTCCTGTAAACAAAGATAAACTGACCAAGGACAGACAAATTACACAACCTTCCTGGGATGTCTACAGATGTCAGTCATCTTTTAACTCCACTCCCTCCTGATTCCTCCTTTTGCTGAGTTTCTTTAGCTTCTTTTATAAAGCTCAAATTTCATGCCAAGGGGAGATAGCTCCTTAGGACAACAGTCCACCATCTCCTTGGTTTGCTGGCTGTCTGGATAAAGTCGCTTTCCTTACCCCAGTGTCTTGTCTTTCCACTTACTGGCTTGTCTTGCAGTGAGCAAAATGAGCTTGGACTCGGTTAGAAGAGATTAAAATGATACCCAAGGTCAAATAGCGAGTGACAGAGCTTAAGCATAAGACCATGCACAGGAATACATGCTCCTGATTACCATACTATACCAATTCTTCCTGCACATGTGATGAAGCAAGACCAAGTTAGACTAGGGAAGAGTTCATCAACTTTGGAACAGTTTGACTACTCCGCAGGATAGCCTTGCCCCCTGCCCCCATCACCCTTCCTCGCCCAACTCTTGGGAATTAAGCTGCCTCTTCACAGAACCCCAGAGCCCTGCCCAGGCAGATCTGCCCAGGAGGTCCCTCATGGGTGGAGGATCCGCTGCCCTCCCAGTATGTCCACAGCCCCTGCCCCTGGGCAGCTCTGAAGATAAGTGGCCAGTGGCCAGAAACGACCGAGAGGCCGGGGCACCCTGCCAAACAGGCGGGGACCACAGGAGCCCCGTTCAGCTCCTTACAGGCACCCAGCTCGCTCCCTCTTTCTCGCCTCCGCCTGGACTGTGGCGATGGTCCGTCCACACGTGGTCAGAGGGGCTGCTTCAACCCCAAGGTCGGTGGCACCACCAGAGCCCACTGGGCCAGCAGGGCAAGGGCAGCGAGAACCCAGGGAACCTCCCAGACAGCAGGCCTAGCCCATTTGTGATCCTCGCGCACCATCTAGCGGCCGGAACCAGCATGGCAGCAAGAAAAGCTACACTGAGGCCGTTCTCCCCCAGGGCAGCCATTTCGCTCGGTGAAATGTCGCATTTCCCGATGGGCGCTGCGACTCAAGCTTCCGGTTGCAAGGAAATGGCGGTGCGCGCAGGCGCACACTAGCTTCAGCGCTCTCGCTCCAGCGCGCAGGCACACAGAAGACGGTGTCGCGCCCCACTAGGAGCACGGACACAGGGACGCGCCAATCAGGAGCGCACGAGCGAAACCGGACTTGTGTCCCGGCCGCTCAGACTCCTGGAGGAGTGCTGGGATCTCAACCATTTTTCTTTCCAATCCAGCATCTGGTGGCTTTCCACAGACATCGTGAAGGCTCTAGAGCAAGGCTTGTCAACCTCGTCATTATTGACATTTTAACTGGATTACTCTATGGTGGATGCTGGTCTGTGTATTGTAGGTCATTGAGTAGCATCCTTGGTCTCCACCCATTATTTGCCAATAGCAACCTCCTCCCCATTGTGACAATAGTGTCTCCAGCCATTGCCAAGTGATCCCTAGGGGGTCAGGAGGTGGGGAAGCTGCCCCTGGTTCAGAACCACTACCCTAGAACAAAGATTTTCAAGCTAGACTGTGCATGAAAATAAACTGGGAGTTTTAAAAAAGACAATGATGGTGTAAGCCACCTCACAACAATTAAATCTAAGTCTCTGCATAGGGCTCAGGAAGCTTTTTTGTTTTTAAAATATTTTCCTGTTGATTCTCAAGTGCGGCCTGAGTTTTCTCCACTGGCCTATTGCATAAGAAGCTAGATCCTGTCCCAGTTCAGGGAATATTAGATGAGATCATGCAGGCAGAGTGCTTTACACCTTAACCAGCTGAGAGTTACTGGTTCTGGATCTTAAGAATAGGTTGCAAACAACAGACTTCATAAACTAGCTTTTTTAAATTTTTTCTCTAGAATAGTTTTTTTTTTTTTTTTTTTTTTTTTTTTTTAGAGGCTCTTGTGTTGGGACTCAGTTTTACCACTTGTAAGCCCTTGAGCAAGTCACTTAACCTTTCTGTGCCCCAGTTTCCCCATCTTATTCATTTCACAGAGTTGCTTGAAAGATTATAAAGCATCCAGCAGAGCACACTATAGGTGTCAGTTACTGTTTTCACTCTGTTAACTGTCAGTGCAGTCTGAAACCAAAAAGTCACAAAATAGGGCCTCATACCTCATAGCTTACCAAAGCCTTACTCCATCTATCATCCCTGTCACTGGTTAGGCTCTAGCCAGTCTGTGCTTTGGAACATGCTGGTGTGTTCCCACAGCAGTGTTTTTAGGTCTGCAGCTCTTTTCTCTTTTCTAAAATTGGTTCCTTCTCCTTATGGCAGCTTGCCTGAGTTGCCCCATGTATTAGCCCTCCTCACTGCCACCACTCTATCTTAGCCCTCTGGGTATTTCTTTCAGAGCACTGTTCTTCCCAGAAGGCACAGAGACTTAGGTTTCACACCTTTGTTCTTCATTCCTACTGGGAGCAAACCTCACAGGATTGTGGGGAGCACTGTATGAGACACAGTGAGTAGAGTGGAGTGCACACAGTAGGTGACCCAAAGTTAAGTAGCTATTGTGGTCATTAACAATATCCAGTATTAAAGAATCAGCCCTTTCATACCTCAATAGGCCTTCTATTCTACCACTCCTCCACAAGGACCCTCAGTACTAGCCACACTCAACTGCATACAGTGCTCAGGAAATACCAGGTTGTTTGGAGTCTTTTGCATATCCTCTTCCCTTTGCTTGAAGGGCTCCTATTCACCTTTCAAGATTAGGCTCAAAAGCCACCTCCCCCATGAATTTGTCCTGAGTGCCCCATTCCCCTGCTCCAGCATAATGTATTGTTCCAATATGGGCTGGGCTTTACCTCCCATCAGCCATATCTGTGTGCTCCAGCCTCCAGCACAGGGCAGGTGCCATTCAAGTGATTGCTGATGGAAAGTGTGGGTACCTGGGGCACCTGGGTTGCTCAGTTGGCTAAGCATTGATTTCGGCTCAGGTCATGATCTCATGGTTTGTGGGATCAAGCCCCACATCCGGGCTCTGTGCTGACAGTGCAGAGCCTGCTTGGGATTATCTCACTCCCTCTCTCTCTGCCCCTTCCCTGCTTGCACTCTCTCCCTCTCAAAAATAAATAAACACTAAAAAAAAAAAAAAAAGACTGGGTGATTTCCTGATTTTGGAAGAATTCCTGGCTGGAGGAAGCAAAGTGTAGTGGAAGACTTTCTGGCCTCAGAGCCAGAAGCCAGAGGGTTCTAGCTACAGTTTCACCTCTTGCCACATGCTTCAGACCAGCTCACCGGCCTTGCTGGCCTCACCTTCCAAGCCCAAAGGCCAGTGCATACCTGACCTGCATCTCTCCACCTCAGAAGCTCAGCACTATTCCCTGATGCCTTACCCCTTCGAGTGTGCATCCTTGTCCTCCAGGTTTGCTGGACTGTCACTCTTCTGGTCAGCTGGTCCAGCAGAGGCCAAAGTGGAGCTGGAGCTGAGGGAGGAAGCACACAGGCCTGCTGAGGCCTTAGAGCAAAGGAGACTCAGGGCCCTTGCCAGCTGCCTTCTCACCAGAAAGGGGAACCTACATCTGCCAGTAAAGGATGGCATCTCAGTCCTGCTGTTAGTGTGGCACAGATGCCACTGTGTGTGATAACGTCTTGTGAGTCCCGGCTGTGAACTGGGCATCTGAGTTCAAGATCAAGCACTCCCCCTGATCAGCTCAGGGGTCCCTGGGGAAGTCTCCTGGTTTGGGGCTCCAGTATCCTTGCCTGACCTATATACCTCTTAGGGCTGTGTGGGAGTCCAGGAAGATTGTTCTTTACTAAATGCTCTGCACACCCACAGCAAACTGGCCAGCAAACTCCCACAGCAAACACCCACCAGCAAACTCCTACTGGTGGACTGGTAGATGGAATAGGGCAGAAGCCTGCAGCTTGGGAATGCACAACCCCTTCCCATTGCACCTTAGCACTCTAGAGCCATGTGCCCTCCTCAGCCACCTCCATGTGCTCCCTGGTACTGAGCATTCTAGTGCCAGTTGGCTGTCCCTGGGATTCCTTCCTCTGACTCCTGCTTGCTGGATTGGGCTGCAGTCCCTACAGGAGGGTCTATTCCCAGGCTCTGCTTCCTAATGCCATCCCTTCTGCCACCTCAGCTTGGGTCCTTGTGAATACATGCTGGGCTTTCAAGGCTGAGAGTTTTCACCACACACATCTTGATTGATCATCCAGGAGAAGAGGGAAGCCAACAGCTGGGCACACTCTGTGGAAGGAGTCCAAGCCTGGTCTGGGTTCAGGACTTTGTGTCTATATGTGTACTTCCTCCCAAAGGGATGGATTCTATCCCCAACAGATGATGAGAACTGAAGGACTGCTCGAACAGATGCTCAGGGCACAGTACTCACTTAGATCACACAGCTGCCTGACACTGGGCCACCGTGTCCTTGTGGTTAAGTGTAGGCTCCCTGTAGGCACATTGCCTGGATTCAAATCAGTACTTTGCTACCTCTCAGGTGTGTGACCTTGGGCACATCACCTGAAATGGGGATGATAATTGTGTCTGCCTCATAAGTTTTCTGAGGAGAATAAATGGGATAATAGATGCTAAGTACTTAGAATAATGCCTGGGCCCTAACATGTGCTAAATTGTTCCTGTTTTTATTACTGGGGCCTGTGGACATTTATAGAAGGAGCATCCCTTTGTAGTCTATCTGTATCCATCAACTTGATACAGATTGAGTGACTGGGTGCTGTCTTACCCAGTATTTCCAGGGGTAGGTTGCATTCTTTGTCTCTGTAAATCAGGCAGGTTGATGTTCACAGCAAGCTGAGCAGTCACAGCTCACAGAGCACCTCATTGCCCATGCAAGCCTGCACTTGAGTAACACACTCACTAAGATTCTTCATGTTTGTTCCCACATCCATTTATCCCAGTTGTACTTGCAACCATAATTACTAAATTCAATTATTAAACTCATAAAAGTGAATGGAAAAGGAGTGGTTGCTTTTTGCATAAGAAACATTTTATGGGGCACCTGGCTGGCTCAGTCGGTAGAACGTGCAACTCTTGATCCCAAGGTTATAAAGTCAAGCCCCACGTTGGGTGGAGAGATTAGTTAAAAATAAAATCTTAAAAAAAGAAACATTTTCCTTGGAAATATAATAAAGGTAAGTTTCTTAAAAATCATTGCCAAAATATGTACAGTTAAGACGATGTAAAAAACTAGGTTAAGTCTTTAGACTGTTTTACAAGTTAATTTGATGTTTGGCTTAATTTTAAAGAAACTGAAAGCAGAAAGCAAAGACTTTGTTTTAGGAGGGTGTGTTAGCAAGAATGATCTGGATGAATATTCAAAGATAAAGCAGTCAAGAACTTTACCCAATCACACTGGACCAGAGGTCTACAACAGCAACAGTTAATTTGCACAACTGTGCTGGCCAGGACACAGTGAGGCAGGCTGCAAGTGCTGGCCTTTCAGACAGTGGTTTCCACTAGTGGCAGCTCAAAGAGCCAAGGCCCCAACCCAGTGGCCTTTCTTTGCACCTGCTGAAGCAGAGTGGTAGGGCAGGTGTGCCGGCTGGCAGCATGCCCTTGTGGCTCTCTGCAGACACTGGCTTTGTCCGTCTGCTCTGAACCATAAGGGCACTAGCACAACTTGGAGCTGAACTGTCTGTGCCAACATCAGCATACCTATACTTTGTCCCCAAGGATGACTCATGCTTGGTTTTCAGCCACTTAGGGACAGGTGGGACCTTGGGAACCACTCCCTGAATCACCTGAGAAAGTGGACCCTGACTCCACCCAGATCCAGGAACTTAGAGCCCAGCCAGACATGTTTATCTTCTCAGTGGGGCCACTGCTTTTCCTCTCACTGAACCACAGAGCATAGCTGTCCAGAGGAGGTGGGCAGGACAGAAAAGGAGCTTAAGGATTTATGGAAGGAAAAGAGGAAAGCAGAGATGAAGGACCTCCTTCTAGCTTATCCTCGGAGCTCAGCCAAGAAGAGAGAAGGCACTGATTAACCCATCATTTGGTCATTCATTTGTCCCTTCACTCATTCTGTACATATTCATTCTACTTCCTGGTGCCTGCCCAGGCAGGGCTGAACCTCCAGCTGCAAGTGGACCCTTGCGCCTGCTCTGGAGGATCTTGAGAGCAAGTGGCAGAGGGCAGGAGAAGGAGCAATATTCAAGCATAGGCAATTCTGATAAGTGGAAAGCACAGGGACAAAGGATGTGGTGGGAGCAACTGGAGAAGCAAGCTGTAGACAGGACTATGGGAAATGACCAGTGTTCAGTCACCCGTAACCCAGGCAGTTTTGGCAGCTTGACCCTGGCCTGTCACCAGGGACATGAGAGAATCAGTAACCTGGGGCAGCTTACCCTCCTCTCCCAGAGTCAATGTCTGCTTCAATCAAGCCTTCAGGTGGGAAGCCCATGGCTCTGGATCCCACATTGCCATCACTTGACTGTGCACTTGACCTGTTATGGGAAGAGAAACATTTGCTGACTCTGATTAGGTTTTGATCTAATATAACTAAGATGTCCTGAGAGCCAGCCTCAAGGACTAGAAGGCCAGGCTCCCAGTTGCCACCCTGCGCTGCTCCAACTAGAGCCAACTGGACATCAGCAAGTATTTCTGCTTTTCTCCCAAACCTGATGGAATGGGAGCAAGAGTGGAGCCAAAAAACAGAGCAAAATGGCAACTTGGGAGGAAGCTGGCACAACGTGGGGAAGCCAATGGTCAAAAAAACAAAGGGCAAAGCACTTGGGGCCACTGATAATAATAGAGCCCAAGGCAGAAACAAGCTCCCCCAGACATCCCAGGTCCCCTTCCCTCATTTCATGACTGAGTCCCCATCGGGGGTCCAGAATCCCACACTGATAAAATGGAGGCAGACAGGCAAGGCTGTGGGCTCTTATCCATTACTGGTTACCAGCTTCCCATTGAAGAAACACTCAACTCTCAGCCGTTGCTCACCACACCCAGGCTTCCTTGGTCTAGCATGAAGGACAGCTCAATGAGATAGTCATAGGATGGCTGGGCACAACCATCCCTTCTGGACTCATCATCCACCACTGGCTCTGCCTCCCATCCTTGCCAGCACCTGCCATGTCTCCCTTTATCCACAGTTCATCCTGGAAGTCTATGCTAGATGCTCTGTTGAGGTCAATGCATCCTTTGGTCATTGACTTCCCTAAACTTCTGACTTGGCAGGCTTGCTTGCCCTGGCCATCAGCAGGACTGCTTTCAGTGGGGGCAAAGGCACAGTGAACTTGGGCCAAGGGCTGGGTGGGGGTGGTCTGGCCTGGAGTTTTGTCCTCCTCTGCAACTGGCTTTCTGAGGGATCTTGGCAGGGGCCTGCCCCTCTCCAAACCTCATACATTCCTTCATTTATTATTTCAAAAGATATTCACTGAGGACTTGCAGTGCCCCAGGCACTGCGGACACAGTGGGGGAACTGGACAGTCCTGGTCCCAGCTCTATCCATGGACCTTACACCATAGGCCACACGGGCTCTATGTCCCTGCACTGAGTTACCTTAGGTCTAGATTGGGGCCCTTGCAGGCCTCCTCACCAGCCAAGTCTTCCTTGGCCTCTCTAGGGCTGGGGTCCTCCTTGTATTTGGAGCCCAGGGAAGACCTATGGAGGAAAGAAACATAAGTTAACCATCCAACCACACTCAGATGAAGGCATTTATCTCATACTCAGATGCCAACTGTCTCCAAGGAACTTAAAAGCTGATATTGCAGGACTAGCCAATTCTCAAAATATCATTACTAATAGCTACTATTGATTTAGGGTCAGACTCCATTCTCATGATTTTGCATGCATTAAACCTCCACATAAACCCCAGGATATGGGCACTATATTTATCCCTGCCTACTTTCTAGATGAGTGAATGGGAGCACAGACAGCCCAAGCAACTTGCCCCCAGGTTCCCAAGGGGAAGAGCTAGGATTTGAACCCAGTCTGATTTCAGAGTTCTGTACTATAATCCTCCATGGTGTTGAGACTTCTCCTAAGCTGCTAATTCAACCTCCCTATGTTCTCTCTGAGGTCATCGGGGAGCCTCATGGTGTCCAACGCAATGGATACACTCCTTTCATTATCACCATTCAGGACCACTGACCCAGTGGGCCACTCCTGTCTTCTTTCCCCAATTCATCTGTCATGACTGTGACACCATCTCCTACCTCTCTTGCCATACCTTCCCAGTCTCCCTCACCATTCCTTCCTCTTCTGCCCCTTAATGTTGGTGTTATCGGCATTCCTTTCCATCTGCATGCTCCACCTCTTTGCCCACCTCCTCCTCCTTGACATCAACTGCTACCCTCAAACCAATGACTTCCACATGTTTGCACATCTCTGTGCTCCTGACCCATACCTCCAATGCCTTTCAGACTGTCCCTCGGTCAGCTCACCCTCGACATGGCTAGAATTGACTGCCATTCCCAGCTGCCCTCGGGGGGATGACCAGGCAGCTGCCACCTCCACACTGGGCTCTGTGCCCAGCCTGCTAGCCCCTCTCTCAATTCCCTTGATATTGTACTTCATGTAAACACTGACATTGAATCCCATTATTTCAGCTTTCATCTGTCTGCATATAACATGTAAATTTCTTGAACCCTGACCTCTCTCCCAAACCTCAACTACAAACCCTCAAATGCCTCCCAGCAATTTGTACTTTGTTGCCCACAAGTAAACTCATTATACATTCATTTAAAAATACTAAGTATTTATATCACCCCTCCTTGTCCCTTGCCCCTGGTCCTCAGTAGTGTGGTGAGTTATGGAGCAAAAGGTGCAGAGTGGGAGTCAGGCAGCCTGAGTGGAGTCCTGGATCTGCCTGCTCTTGGCCATGTAACCTTGAGCAAGTTACTTGACCATTCAGGGTCTCAGTTTCCTCATCTGTAAAATAGACATAGTGACTGCATCTGCATCATGCATGAGGATACCTGCTAGGCTGTTGAGGCAGGGCAGGGCTTGGTGAATTCTAGCTTTATCTCTTTCTTCTTTCCCCAAATTGATTCTCTGGAAAGTGGGAGAGGAGCACCCCCATGGGATTTCAATGGTTGTAGCTTTGCCACTCCCAGACAAAGTACCAGAAGCCTTGTGGGTTCTGGAGACAGGAGGCACAGCAGGGATCTTCACTGGAGGCAGCCTGGCTTCCTCCTGCATCTCTTGGGGTTACTTGGACCCTGTTTCTCAAAGACTTGTCACCTTAGGAAAATCAGTGAAGCAGCTTCCAATGTTACCTTATTAAAGATGTTGTCACACTGGATGATCCTCAATCATTCCAGCAATAAACACTCTCACATTTCTGTTCTGGGCCAGAGGGAATGTAATGAACATTTAGCTGCAGCCCCTGCCCTCCAGGCTCTCAGAGTTCTTAGGGAATATTGATCCAGGAGTGGACAACTGTGCATAGGCACCACATGGAGACCTGGGAGGCTGGAGACAAGGGCCCAAGGAGGGAGGGGTATACGAGGAGTACTGAGTTCAGGCTGCAGAGCCCAATCAGGGTGGGGGGCATTGCAGGGTTTTCCCAGGGGGCTGGAATGACTACTTCTGCCTTTTAGAAATATCACCCAGGTAGAGATGTGGAGGGTCTAGGGATGGGGCAATAGGAGAATAAGAATAGGAAATATCTCTAAAATAGAATGGGTAGGACTCAGTGCCAGACTGGGGTGGGAGTGTGAAGAAGAAGGCGCCAAAGAGGAGAGTAAAGGTACCTAGAGATCCATCAAGACTCATCTTGGATGACACTTCCTCCAGGAAGCCTTCCCTAACCAACCCACCCTTATGCTAGTGAGAGGCCCCTTTGGAGCTCCTACTGCTCCAGTGGGCATACACTCTGGCCTCCCTCCCCAGACTCTGGGATTCATGAGGAAGAGTCTCAGTCTGGCTGCTTCACAACTGCCTTCTAGGCCCTGGCGCAGGGGTCAGGTGTGCATCAGGGGCTCAGTAAATGTTAGTTGAGTGAATAGCTAAATGAGTAAGAGAGAGAGTGGTGCAGGATCCCTCCCACTACTTGTCCCTCCAAAGAGAATTGGCCCCTCCATGCTCAGATCTCCCCTTGTCCCCGCCCCAGCTCCTAGCAATCCACCCCCCATCCTGTCTGCCTGTTGCATGGCTCTCTGCCTCCTATCTTGAGGCAGGGACTGGGCCCTCTGTGCTCCTTGTAGTCCTCCTGTCCCTCACCCTCCCCAGAACCAGGTGTGGTGGCATCAAGCTGTCAAGGCTGACCTGGTGACCCTACCCTGTTCCCAATAGTCCTGTCACACAAGCAGAGCAACTGCCCCAGCGGCTTCAGGGGGCTTTGCAGAGCCCATGTCTCAACCCAGCACAGCTGTCCTGTCTTGTTCTCAGTGCTTGGCAGGGCTGAGCCCTCACAGCTTGCTGGTGTCTGCATCTGCCTCCCCTACCAGGCAGATGGTCAGCATCTCTGGCCAGGGGACAGTCACCTCTGGCTTGCCAGGGCCAGGTTTGCCTCACATGAACCAAGTACTTGCCCCTAAAGAGGTGTGGGGTGAAAGCATGAATGGAGGCAGAGAACCTAGGTTGACCATGTCTCTTACCAACCAGTCCCTGGGCCTAATCATTTGCATCCCTTCCTTGCTTATCCCATCTCTAAAATGGTGTGGAAGGAGCCCAGCAGGGCCCCCATACCTCATTCCTTCCAGGTCTGGGGTCATCAGGCGGAGTCCTGCCCCAGGTGTCGTGATCTGCAGGTGGACAACTTCCTCACCTCTTGTACTGCAGCCAAGAAAGACAGCCAGGGAGTTGCTGGTAAGGAAAGCCTCCCCTTTTTCCCATCTGTGCCAGGGGTCCAAGGGCATTCTCCTTCAGAGGCCTCCTGGGTAATGCAGTGGGACACCCAGAACCATTGTCTTTTTTTTCTCTTGTCTCCTCTTTGGCCTTTAGCTTTCTTGGTGCTACAGCTGAGCTTGACCCACTGACCTCCAGGTCGCAGAGGAAGGAGAGTGAAACACCGCTTTACCAGTCTCCCACTCTTGAGCCCAGCCCCGTTTAAGCATAGCAAGTGGATTCTGGATGGAAATGGGACTGCCCAGCCCCAATGCCCTGTCTGTAGCTGCTGTCATGATGCTGTCACCCACTTGCAGAGATGAGACCTGGCTATGGTTCCACTGGAATGCCCAAAGTGGCTATTTGTGAAGCCAGTGAGAATTCTGGGTATATAGGCTGATGGGGACTGATGACAAACAAGATAATCAGGAAACCTACAGGCCAAAGTTGGAGAGCCAGTGGGAGTAGGATATCAGAGACTTGGGGGATGAAGGAAAGTGACCAGTTGCCTGTGAACTGGAGTCCACAGAGAATCAGACATTCTCAGCACTCAGAGGATGCTGAGGATTCCCTTTGAGGATTCCCTTTGAGGATTCCCGTGCTCAGAGCCTGGCCCACAGTTGACCACATACATCCTGCCAAGTCTGATTCCACTGCAGGACCTGACCCCCAGCAGGCTTGGGCCATGGTGATGGCCAGAGCCAGAGGCAATCTAGAGCTCTCTGGCTTTGTGGGAGTACTCTTCACTCAAGACCATACCTTTCTAGGTCCACAAAGTAAGGCGTAAGCCATCCTTTAAGACCCAAACCACTTACAGCCACTCCCTCCTTCTTCAGCTGCCTGTGGACACTGGGTTGGGTCCTGGGTTATAGATGGGGGTGAGTCCCAGGCCAGGTGAAGCCCCCAGCCTAGTGTGTATGTGGGGGGGGGGGGCAAAACAGGGACAGAGTAGCATGGGTCCTGACTCTACTAAAGTGTAAGACTGTGCACAAATTCAGCCCCAAGGGCACCTGAGAAGCTTCATGGAGATGTGGCCTCGCTGGGGGCCAGCTGGAGGCAGGTGGGAGAGGAAGAGATGGAGGCTGGCAGGGGCCTTAAGTGATGAAACCAGATCTGGTGTGGCAAAGGGATGCCATGGAATGGGCTTAAAGTGGGGGGTGAAGAGCTTCACATGATCAGACTGGCACTTTAGAAAGGCCCCTTTGGGTCCATGACAGGGAAGGAGGGGCCAGGGTGAAGGCAGAGAAACAGGTAGTCTTCACCTTGGGTGAGCCGGTGTGACTTGGCTGCTCTCCTTGGAGTCACCTTGGAGTTGATCCTGACGTCCGGCTCCAAGCTAAACTAGGAGGCCATAGAGGATCGGGTCAGTGGGCTGCCTGTGTATGTCATTCCTGGGATTTGGCTGAGAGGTCGCACATTAGAGATGACAGGGGGAAATGGAAGGGCTTCCAGGGACAGGGGGCCTGGTGCACGGGGCAGCTCTGATCTGTGCATGTCTCCTCCCATGATAGCAATGATGACAGCATAAAGCACCTGGCCAGGACACACCCCACTTGGGAACATCACAGGCAAGTAAAACATACTTCCTCACTGGTGTTTCTGGTTATGTGGCAGAGGAAATAGGAACAAAGTGTCACCCCAACCTGCCCAAGCTGGAACCTCTCCCTCAATGCCTTCTTCCTTTTTTGTCACCCCATTTAGCAATCCCTTCTTGAAGACCCAGCTCAAGTGGCACCTCTTCCAGAGGGGCTGTTATGAGTTGCACTGTGTCCCCTTAAAAGATATACTGGAGTCCTAACCCCTGGTATCTATGAATGTGCCATTATTTGGAAATAGGGCAATTGCAGATACAATAAACTTAAGATAAACTCATACTGGAGGAGAGTGTCCTAATCCAGTGTGACTGGTGTCCTTATACAAAGGGGGCATTTGTACACAGACACACAGAAGGAGTATGGCCATGTGAAGACAGGGGCAGAGACTGGAGTGATACATCTACAAACTGAGAGCTGCCAAGGATTGCCAGCAATACCAGAAGCTAAGAGAAAGACCTGGAACAAATCCTCCCCCAGACCATTTGAAAGGAACATATAGCCCTGCTGACACCTTGATTTAGGACTTCTGGCCTCCAGGTGTGAGAGGACACATTTCTGATGTTTTATCCACCGAGTTTGTGTTAACTTGTGACAGCAGCTCCAGCAAACTCATACAGGGGCCTTCCGGTGTCTCTTCTCCTGCAGCAGCCCACCAGCCCCTCTCACCAGACCTTCAACCACAGATGGCTCTAGTTCAATCTTAAATTGTCAGCTAGGCTGAGAGCCGATGGAGACCGGGAGCACTCTTCCAGTGTGGACCCAGCTGCCTGTGGGAGTACCTTCTTCTCCGCACCCACAACCGCATTTCCCTCAGAGGCCAGCAAGATGGCGATATTGGTCTCTTCATTTGCCCTGCAAATCAGCTAGCCTATAACTGGGAGCACCCAGGCACTGTGCCAAGGATTTCATATGTATTACCCCTTTTAGTATTTGAGAAGGCCTCAGGAGGTAGGTATCACTACTCACTATTGTATACATGAGGAAACTGAGGCATAGAGAGGTAAAGTGGCTTGCACAAGGCCAGTATAAGGCAATGCCAGGGTTTGCCTTGTGCCAAAACCTGTGCTTTTACTCAGTGCTCTCCAGCTTACTCTGTCAGACAGCATGCTGGGGCACAGCCTGCAGGCCTCACCATGGTCGAATGAGGCAGAAAGCCAAGGAAGCTTGACCAGTGCTGTGACAGGGACAGCAACCAGGCCTGGGGGCCTTTGTGCATACCAGTTTCTCTGGAAGAGGGTATCTGAATAAGTTCAGTCCAGAAGGTATATAGGAGTTGTCCCACAACGAGAGGGTTAAAAACAAGATGAACCCAAGAAAACAAGTTTTGGGGTGCATGGAGGGAAGGCCCCCTCCACTGTTGAGCAGGGGGTGGGAGCGATGGTAGAGACAAGTAATTCAGATATAAGCACTTGGAGGTGAGGGACCTTTGAGATGCCAGGCAGGTCCAGCATCTGATGGAAGGGAAATGACAGCTGGACAGCCCGGAGGACACAGCCTGTAGGTGTTCTTGTGGTGCATTCCTATTCCAAACTTTCAGCCCTCCCTGAAGTCCCTGAGGGGTTTGGCACCTAAGACAAGGGTTTTACTCCTGGTTGGCCTGCTGGGTGAGATGAGGAAGTTACATGAGACTTGAGCCAAGGAGGATATTGCAAGGACAGACTTGGGGAAGAGGCAGCCTCTTCAGAGCCATACCTGGAAACAAGGCTGTGATATTTTCCTCCCCCACTCTACCATAAACCAGCTTTTTCTGAGTCAGTACAGCACCCAGAGTTTGGTTGAGTCACTGCTCCCCATAGAGCTGCACTTCTTCAAGGGCACAATCCAGCCTGGAGTTCTCAGATAACCAGGCAGAGAGAGGCTGGGTATGGGGAACTGATGGTGGTTGCCTGAGCTGACCAGTGCAAGACCTGTCTCGTGCAGTGGAGTCAGAAAAGAAGGCCACCCAGGACCAGGCAGTGGCTCACCTGGAAGCTGCCTGGCAGGGTTCCAGATATTTTGTGACTGCACAATCTGAGGGAAGAAGCACTATGAGAAGTATCAAAGTAAGCCTCCCTGACCAGCCCCTGTTGCACACTTCTGATGAGAACTCTTTCCTTCCTATTGGAGGCTTCCCCATTGTGAAACATCTCTGGTATCTAGAACTTTCTGTAATCTGGTCCCAATTCTGTTTCCTGGGGCCTCACAGGCAAGATTGATCTCGGACTTTTGGCCTTCACAACTGTGAGGCAGTATATTTCTGTTGTTTGAATCACCAGTTTGGGGTACTTTCTTACTGCTGCCCTAACAAACCACTATAGCCACCTTGCTATGACAGCAGATGAAGGGTATTAAACATCCAAAAGATATGTTAAAATACCTCTCAAATACATAATACAGCACAACCTAATTCTCCTAAGTTCTCTTTTAAAAAGCATCTGAAACCATTCACTGCTCTTCTTTTTCTGCACAAAAGACAAGGAGAAATCAGAGATGTGCACTGTTTGGGGCTGAATTATGTCCCCTCCAAATTCATATGTTGCAGTCCTAACCCTGGTACCTCATGGTACATTTATTTGGAAATAGGGTCACTACAGATGGAATTAGTTAAGATGAGGTTATACTGAAGTAGGGTGGGCCCCTAATCTAACATGACTGATGTCCTTATAAGAAGAGGAGATTAGAACACAGACACACACACATGGAAGAGCATGTGAGGACACACTGGGAAAGGTGGCCATCTACAAATCGAGGAGAGGCCTCCCTCCCAGCCCTCAGAAAGAACCAACCCTGCTGACACTTAAATCTCAGACTTCCAGCCTCTAGAACTGTGAGACAATACATTTCAGTAGTTTGAGTCACCCCATCTGTGGTTACAGTTGCCCTAGCAAACTAAGACAGCCCTATGTCCCATCAATCCCCAAGTCCCATCACTGCTGCCTTGTGAGGAGCTCTGAAATATTTCCACTTGTTTAAAAGTTCTCACCAACAGGGGCACCTGGATGGCTCAGTCAGTTAAGTGTCCGACTCTTGATTTCGGCTTAGGTCATGATCTCAGGGTTTTGTGAGTTCCAGCCCTGCTTCGTGCTCTGTGCTGATGGCTCAGAGCCTGCTTGGGATTCTCTCTCTCCCTCTCTTTCTCTGCCCCTCCCCCGCTCACAATGTCTCTGTCTCTCTCAAAATAAATCAACTTGAAAAAAATAAATAAAAATTCTAATGGACAAAAGTTTAGACAAACAGGGAGAATCACGACATGGAGGCAGTGAAGAAGAGGGGCAGTGGTGCTGCTGGAGCCATGGCCTCAGGATGGCCTCACACTCCTGGCTCCCTCTAGGAAAGAAGGTCTGCAGCCTTGCTCTCCACCAGTCTATGCTATGGCAGGTGGCCCTATCTCCCTCCTGGCACAGAGGGGGGAGCCCTGAGGGACCATGGTCACATACAAATTTTTGTGGGACTTGAACTGGGGAGGAAAGTAGGGGCTCGCAGTGGCATTACAAGAGCTGGAAAATCCCCTGGGGTCCCTAAAAGTGACCTGTAGACAAAGGTGCTCTGCCCCTCTGGTTTCAGAGTCTTCCAAGGGTGCCATGGAGGCATACCACTTAGCAGACTTGGATTTGGACAAAGCTCCCAGTCCTGGCAGGAGCTTTAAACAGCAGCAACAACAGGGAAGTGGTGCTCTGAACAGGACTTACCTTGATTCACTGAAAAGTATAAGGAGGTATTGATTGCTCTTCATTTGCAGACAAGAGAGCACCATTATTTGCCCAGACACTCAGGGCTCAGAAATCAGACCAAATCCGGACCCCGTCTGTAGTGAGATTACCAGCACTCAGTCTGCCCTCCTGCCCTCTCACCCCAGTCCCAGGCTGTCCCATCTGACCAGCTTACAGGCCAAAGCCAGCTCATGGCACCCACCTGGGCTCCCAGCTCCTGGCAGGGCTGGGCAGAGTCAGCATGTGCTCAATCCAAATCCCCTGAGACACTTTGGCTCTGTCTCCATCCACACTGGCAAAGAAGGCAGCTGTGAGTGGGGCTGGGGGCTGTAGAGCCTCCTTCCCCAGCAGAGGACAGAGGACATAGCTGGCAGGCTGAACTTGGACAATTTACAATAGAGCTATTAACAAGCCCAAGAATGGCAGGGCTAGCACTCTGATGGTAGGCCCTCTCAAACCCTATGGCTAGTACTTTTTCCTAGGATGCTGTGGCCACAAGTGGGATAAGATGACACAGATAACATTAAAAAGACAAGAGTGATGTACTCTCTCCCTGGAGGTCAGGCTGTTTTGCTCCTTTTAGCCCTAGGACATCCAGCCAAAAAGCTCTTATTGATTTCTGTGCCCTGTCTTGACACTGAGCACATGGGGACACTGATCCTGAGGCTTTGCAAGGAGATGACCTAGCAGAGGTTCCACAGTAACAGTGGCAGGCAAGCCTGGAAGCCACCAGCCCCAGACAGAGATGAGTAATTGATTACCTGCTCGAGCCAGGAGAGGATCTTCCTAGAGCAGGTGGGTCCTGGCTCTTCTCAGAAGGCCTGTCCTCATCCACCACCTCAACCCTTTAGGCAAGACGAGAAACAGATGCACCACTTGTCCCCAGGGCACCTGTGGCCTGCTCAGCCGCCCTACAGCTTGCTGTTCCTAAAGGACATGATTTCCTTCTGTGCTGTCTATGGCCATGAGGTGGCCCAGCCTGGAGGCTCAGCAACTCCAGTTTGGGATAAAGGACAGCATATCAGGTTGAATAGTATCCCTTCAAAATCCATGTCTGCCTGGAACTTGTGAGTGTGACCTTATTTGGAAATAAGGTCTTCGCAGATATAGTCAACCTAAGATCGGGTGACGCTGGAACAGGGTGAGCTCTAAATCCAATGACCAGTGTCCTTATAAGAAGAGGGAAATTTGGACACAGACATACAGACAAAAGGTCATAGGACAATAGAGGCAGAGACTGGAGTGATGTGTCTATAAGCCAAGGATTGTCAAGGGTTGCCTGCTGCCATCAGAAGCTGGGAGAGAAGCCAGAGACAGTTTCTCTTTCACAGCCTCCAAAAGGAACCAATCCCGCTGACACCTGGATCTTGGACTTAAAGCCTCCAGAACAGGAGACAGTACATTTCTCGGGTCTTTGCCACCCAGTTTGTGGTACTTTCTTATACCAGCCCTGGCAACCTAATACAGCCAGTAAAAGCACATCATTATCTGTCACTTCCTTTATGCTGCCATCACCCTTTCCTGACTGTATTCCAGTCTTCAGCTCACTATGCAACCTTGTCATGGATGCTTTCCTTGTTTACCTCATGGAATGTCCCTAAAATTCAACTTTCTGGAAGTCTCTTCCCTATACTCCCCAAATATTCTCTCCCAGAAGATATTCTGTCTCAACTGATGGGGACACTCCTCTCTCACTCAACTGGAGTGTCCTAATGTCCTGATAATTTCGTATTGAATTCTGTTCACCCTTTAGGGCCCATCTCCAATGTTATGGTCACTTCCAAGGGCCTGGCCAGGCAGAGGCTCCCAATGATAAGCCTCTGGACCCCAGCCCAGTAATCCCTCCTGCTGAGGCATTGTCCAGCCTGTCCCTGGTAGAGTGGGAGGGAGGGCAGGGGAACAACTCCTTTTTAGCCTGGTAGCTACTTTTGCTTCAAACCCCAGAAATCCTTGGAAACACTAAGGCTCTACTGGGGATCAGGGGCCTAGCCCTGTTAGCAAATGGAAGTTTCCAGCCACAAGCTACGTTCTGTCAGCCAGATCTTGCCTACACAGAACTGCCTGCTGAGGCCACAAGTGCCACCATACCCACCTACTTGCTCATCTGGCCTCCAGACAAAAGCCACTTGGCCCTCACAACTTCCCTTGCTCAGGGCCAGAGGCCCCTTCCCACTCTGCACCTGCTTTCCATGGTGATCACACTCCACCTCTGCTGGCAGGAGGCCTTCTCTGCAGCCAGCAAGAGGCTTGCAAAGATTCCCTTGCTGACATTTACCTCTTTGCAATGAACGGAGCCTGCATCTCCTGGGCAGGGCTGCTGCAAAGGAAGCAGAAAGGCAATGTGTTGGACAGAACTCATGGACAAGTGACATCATGAGCACTTTGCTTTATAGGGTCCTGGGCCTCTCTCTCACTCCCAGTACCTCAATAGCCCTGATGGCTGGAGCCAGACCTCTCAGTTTTCCAGAAAGAGCATCTGAGAATCCTGGGAGGTCTAGCCAGGAGGAAAGGAGGGGAGCCAGTTGGTAGCTGAGCTGGCCCAGAAGCCAGGCCCTGCTGTGTCTCCTGTCATGTAACTCACCTGGTGCTCTTCTTGGCTGCTGACAGAACGTAGGAGTGCTCCCGGGAGGCTGTCTTCCTCACCACACTGCTTGCAGCCTCTGACCTGCGGTGGCACAGAGAGAAAGTATCTAATGGCATAAGGCAGGACTCACTCTGCCAGCATAGCCCAGCAGCTACCCAGGATGGCTCAGGGCCACCCCAGGGAGGCAAGTGCACAAAGCCAAATTAGCGCCTGCTCCCAGAACTATTCAAAGGAAACAGAGACCATGCAGCCCACATTTATCAAGCATAGACTGTGGGCCTGGCCCTGTGCTGCATGCTGCAAATCCATACTGGCTCATTGAGTCCTTACAACTTAGGAAAGTAGGTGCCAGTATCACCCACAATTTACAGATGAAGAAACTGAGGCATGGGAAACTTTAGTGACTTGTGTGAGACCACACACTTAGCTGATGGCAAAGTGGGCAGTCAATGCTCAGCAGCCTGGCTCCTGAACTTCTGGCTCTTCCCTTGTACCTCCCAGGCCCAGGGACCACTGTCACTGCAGACTCTGGCCTTAGGATTGTCCATCTGCCAGACCTTCAGCACAGGAGCTTTGCTGTGTCTCTTAAGGCGCAGAGGGCCCAACAGACACTGGCAGTGGGGGCAGGCTCAGCCTGGGGTGGGGGGTGGGGGCAGTTATTTCCTCAGAGCCTAGCTGCTGCCCAAGTACCTGAGCCTCATTTTGAGGTGAGGGGCACTGGCACTTCCAGAGTGTAGCTCTGCCACCCAGCCATGCAGGCCCTGCCCAGCATAAAGCATACACAGCCTCCACACAGCACACACGGCATACACACAGAGGGCTCCTCCTAGGAGGATGGCCGATTTTGGTTCAATTTGCTCAGGACCCTTTTTAGCAAATTGATATAAAGTCCTGAAGCACCTCCCTCTGTACACTCTGTCCACCCAGGGGAGGCTTCCCCCAGCCCTCATTACCTAGGTTCTGCTCCATGGAAGTTTCATAAAGGGTCCCCTGAGCTGGCCCAACACTGAGTGGGTGGTTCTGGGATTCAATGAATGACACCTGTTGCTGGAAGCCACTCCTCCAGCAAACAAGCCAGCACTGATATTGTACATGTTGTGCATTTTGTCACTGCAACTGGCACCATTCCTATATTACTGGTCCACAGAAACTTGGGCCCCTGCCCTGACTGTGGGATGCTCAGCGGGCACCATTACCTCCGTTTCTGCTCATCAGATGAGAAGAGAACCTCCTCCTCTTCAGCATCCCCTGATGCTGAGCTGCGTCTGACATTGTAGGGTGCCCTGGGGGAGGGGAGAGGGTGTGAGGACGCTGTTGGTTGTGGCCCCTCCTCCCCCATCTCTGCCCCTGTTCCCTGTCACAGGCTGCCACCCTCAGCAGTTTGGCTTCCTGACTTACAACAATAATAGCACATGTTGGCATTGCTGCCTCTGAGTCTTTGCTCATGTCACTTCTTCCTCCTCAAGAGCCAGCCCTCTCCTCTCTCCTTATTCCAACCCTAACTGTCCTCCAAGACCCAGTTCAAGCCTCTCCCCTTCTCCAGAAAGATTTCCTACCTGGTCCATGTCACTGGATGGTTGTGACAAGGGATATAAAGCAATATAAAGATGTGGGGCCCTTGGGAACTGCAGATTCAACCCACACTTCTGTCCAGAAACCCCCTCCTTGGCCACATAGTGGGGGCATATTTGATAGGGGCCAGAAGGGGAGCCCCAAAGATTTATATCCAAGAAGCAGTTCAGATTTCAGCACAAAATGCCAATTACTTGGCTGCCAGGGCTATCATCATGCTTAGGGTCATCAGGCCCCAGCGCGGCCCGGCCTACACCCCAGAGGGGTGCAGAGGCATGTCCAGGAAACAGAGTCAGCCAACATCAGCCCCAGAGATATGACCCATGACCCTTCCTCCAGACTCACTGGCCCCTTCTATAAGCTTCTTAGAGCCCCTGCTTCGCCACAGATCAGAAGAGCAATGTGCTCCAGGTCATAGTGGCAACTGGTAGGAATGTCAGGCCTGCTGTTTGGGCTTGTCCTTGAAGGAGGGAACTGAACTGGGTCTGCCATTGCATACTTACAGCTTCTTGTAATCCTCAGTGGTCATCTTATAGCCGGAGGAGGAGGGCCGAGGAAGCCCACTGGGAGCTGCTCTCAGCAGACCACCAGCACTGGAGAGGAAAGGAGTTTCCATGTGCCCACTCCCAAGGCCCCTCTTGCTTCTAAATTTGTCTACATGCCCCAGTAGGAATGTGGCTGGTGGCCTTTCTTCTTTTCTTTCAGCCCTGCCACACACCCATCCCATCTGTGCCACCCTAAGCAGGGCAGCCCTCCTGCCATAGGTTGACCCAGGCCCCTTGACCCTGCCTTTATGATGGAGCCCAGGTTCAACCTGACACCAAGGCGCTTTGATGACATGCCACTTCAGCCTTCTGGGAAGAAGGTAAAGTAAAGCACACAGCTGCTGGGAAACAGGACTGCCCAATCTGGGTCATACATCCACCTGGGGCTTTGTGTCCCAGCACTACTCTCCAGGGCCCTGCCCTACACAGGAGAGCTACCATCCACCACCCCTCCCCACCCGTGACAGATAGAGTAATCTCTCTGCCATAAGCCTGACCTAGGCCCTCATGCCTGGTGCTTGGCCTAGGCCCTCACCCCAAGGACACATACCTTTTTGGATCTCCATTGGCCTTGGGGAACTGCCGCTGTGGCTGACACGAGCTGTCTATGGGCTTGGTGAACACTCCCCTATAAGAAAGCCCAGAAGAAGTAGCCCTGTGAGCTCCCCTGTGAGAATCCAGGGAGCAGTGGTGTGCAGGCATGTGGAGGCAGGCAGGGTCCTATGGTTACCTACCGGATGATATAGCCAGTGGGAGCCCTTGTGCTAGGAGGCCTGCCGAGGGAAAAGAAGGTATGAGGTGAAGCAAAGACGCCCTATTTCCCCTGCACCCAATGCCAGCAAAGTGGATTGGCTGGTGGGTGCCCCAGTGTGGTCAGAATGAGGGGAACAAGAGTGGCTGGCCATTTCTCAAGAGAGCCAGCTACCCCTTCACCCAAAGCCAGGCTTCCTATTCTGCTCCCTCATGCTCCCCAGGAAAAGTACTGGGACCAGCCCAGGATGACCCTGGATCACAGTAAGTGCCCAGGAAGATGTGTTCCATGGCTAAACATTTGCCGCAGAGGGGTCTCCTCCAAACTCAAGTTTTTCTCTCACCTTCCAGGCCCCAGCACTCCCCTGAACAAGAAGTCTTCTGGGATTGATGACAGCGCTCCCACTCTCTACTCTCACAACTGGAGACTGCATGGTCAGAGGCCTGGGGTTGAGGCATGGCAGGGAGAGCCCAGGGTCCCGGACCTAACCACACAGCCTCCTTTGGGAAGGCTCATGAGGGACCAAGGGGTAGAACCAAAGGCAGCTTCCCCACCCTTCCTGCTCCTTTGGGGCCTCTCTCCTCCAGCTCCTGAGATGCCCACATCACAGACTTGATGAAAGTTTGGGACTGGAGGGCATGGCTGGAAAACAGACTGCACATGCTGGGTGTCTCCTGCTTGGGAGCAACTGAGCGGGTTCAGAGGGCCAGTAGTGGTAGGCAGCAAAGAGCTGTGAGTTTGGGGTGCAGGGACAGGAGACAAGGATTCAGCAGATGGCCTTTCTTTCTAGGAAGACAGTAGCTTAAGGGCTGGAGAACAGGGGAAGTGGGTCTAAGGGAACCCCACACAAGCAGGTGAGAAGGGCAGCACAGAGCCACAGTGTTCCCCATCATGGCAGCCTGCAGGTGACAAATTTGCAAGCACACTTGGGGTGGGGCCTGAGAAAGAAAGGCCATTTCCCCCCATCTAGCCACACAAACATTTTTGGCTTGGGGAGGCTAGGCCATGATCACTGGCTGTCCCTTGGATCCACTTCTTTCCCCAAGAGAAAAGGAGAGCCGAAGTTTATGTAGACTTCCAGGTATCCCTGCTCTAGGCCCTGAGTCACAGTGCCCTGGGATGTGCTTTCTAAACATAGCCCCAAACAGAAGCCCAGGGTGAGAACCATACCACCCAAAGTAAACTAGCCCCCTAGTGAGTAGACTGTCTTTAAACCGTCCTCAGGCCTTCACCAACTTTGCCAACTGCAATAATCACAATCCATAATTCTCTCTTTTATGTTCACCTCTCTATTTGGTTCATGCCTGTGTTCCCTGCTAAGATGTTAGTTCCCCAAGGAGAGAGCACAGGACCTGGCTGGTACTGGATGCCGAGTCAGGGAGGGGTGGTGATGGGCAAGTCCATAGTTGTTAGAGGCAGCCCCAGAGACTTAGCAGTGAACTTGGATCCCTCCCTTCAAGCTGCTGCCACTGCCTCTATCACCACCTGAGAAAGATCCTGGCACTGCCTTCACTGCCAACTGCCAGTGAACTGTAGCAAGACTAAAGCCTGAGGTTTGCATTCCCACAACTCACTGACTTGGCAGTGCTTTGGAGCATCCCTAGACACCGATAGGCAAAAGTCTTCAAAATGCAGACGGGATGGGCTGTTCCCTTTGGCCACATGTCAGAATATGTCATCATGAATTTGGGAGACCATTGGAACAAATGTGTCCATCTCCTTGACACCCTGATTCCTTCCTAAAATTCACCTGTACACCCCAGAGAGCTATGCAAAGGCTGTAAATCAAATTGTGGACAGTTCTTTGGTTCAGCAGTGCACTCAGCAATCAGGGCTACCTACAAGAGAGTCACGTGTGACTCTCAACACTGTGTAAATCACCTCAGATTTGTTGTCTCACCCTTTACAGAGACTTCCCAATGTCCACTAGGCAGCTGGAACCATGGAGGCCCATTAGGTAGCCAGCCTCAAGGTCACACAGCAAGGCCAGGGATCTGAACCCAGTGACACCTGCACTCCCTTTCCCAAGAGGAAGCAGAGTAGAAAAGCCTGTCTCTCCTATGGATTTGAAATGATTCACTGCAGACCCTAGCATCTATTTTGAGTTTGGGCTCCTCCTTATCCCCTGAAGACTGCGGCATGAGGCCCACCCACAGGCCATCAGGCATCACCTCTTACCTGGTCTTCGGGACTTCCCCAGCTGATGAAAAGGATGTGGCTCGACTCCGACCAGGAGGCAGCTCTCTGGAGAAAAAGGGATCCTGAAAGAGTGGCTCTCTGCCATCAGCCACCTTGCAGCCTCCATCCTAGAGGCTGTCTGCTGAGCCCCAAAGCAGGTGAGGTGGGGTGAAGTGCATGCACCACAAGAACTTGGCTCACCATTCCCGTCTCACCTTCTCCTTCCCTGGCCTTTCTCCACATTCCACAGGCAAGTATGTACATGCCCACTCGGCGTCAAGGGCTTTCCCACCTTGTAACTTTGGTTGAGTCTTGCCCTCAACTGGATTGCTTTCCCGTGCTCTGCCCTCCCCAGCTTGCCTGTGGCCACATGTCCCCACTGAAGTCTGAATGGTGGAAGTCCCTCAGCATCCCCAGGCATCGACGGGCCTTTGTGGATTACAGCCCTACCCCACCTCATTGTTGCTGGCCTCCTAGCCTCCTGGACTTACAGGGTGTGGCCCTCTGATTCATCCTGCTTGGTGATCCAGCTCTTGTCCCCCTTCAGCGTGGTCCGAACCTTCATCTGCTTGAGGACATTATTGCGTTCCTCTTCACCTGGTAGTAGTGGTTTCCCTGGAGGGGCAAGGCCAGGCAGCCTCAGAAGGGGAACCCAGCCCCAGGACACTGATGCCTCCCTGCCAGTCCTCCCAATATGCTGCTCTCTGCTGCCGTGCTTGTGGCCCTTGCAGGGCAGGCCACACACCAAGCCTGGGAGAAGAGGGAGTGCAGTCCTCACCTTTGGTGCTGCCTCCAAGAGCTGAGATACTCATGGCGCTTGCTCTGCAGATCCCTTCTCAGTTGATTCAACAGGGCTCCTGAGGACAAAGGCAAGCACATGGCTTGTCACTTCATGCATTTATAATGGCTTGCAGGTCATCATGTGGTCCCTGACTGCCCTTTGGGTATAAGGAGGCAAGAGTTGTTGGAGTTTGGGTGGTGGGCAGAGGCCAGGGAGTGAGCACACACTGGACCTGTCATTGTCTGATAGTAAAACCACCTGTCTGCCCAGAGCTGCTCACATGGGGAATGAGCTGCTATGGAGCTGTCTATTCAACAGATAGCTTATAAGGGCAAACCACAACCCCCCTAGAGAGTTCTGATGGCCAGATTCCAGGCCCAGATGAGTGTAGGGGAGAGAGGGGAAGCAGTGGAACCTCCACAGGGTAGGCTTCCTGAGGGCTGGCACTAGTGGGCTCAGAAAGAAGGACTAAAGGAAAGGTGGGGGCTGGGAGACCAGTTCCTTTGGGGTTGGATTATCTTTCTCACTCTTTAGTAGCTGTCTGACAGACCTTTGGCAGGTCAGCTAATGTGTCCAGTCTGCCTCACTGTCCTCATTTGTAACATGGGATTTTAAAAACTCTACCCTTCAGGACTGCCATGAAGGCAGAATGCACCAATGTTCTTGAAAATGCCTGGCACCATCTGGGCACAGCAAAGATCGCAGGGAAGTTGGACAGGAGCCAAGGAGCAATTGAGTTTCAACCTGTCTTCACTGGGACAGGGGACTGTCAGCTGTCCTCAATCAAAACCACCAAGCCTGAGAGTGTGCAGCCCTGTGTTGCTCACGGGTTTGTTTCATCTCCAGTGGGAAAAGCCCAGGGCCCCCCTGCCAACTTCTAGTAGTGCTCAGGGACCAGGTGAGGGTTGGAATCTGGTAAGGAATTGCTGTTGTGCTCTGCTTTCTCTTCCTCTCTCTATTCTTGCCCTGCTCTCCTTCCTTGTCTTTTCTCCGCCCTTTTAGCCATGTGTTTCCCTCCTGTAGCCAGTGAAAGGTGGACCACAGTGACCTCCAGAGCCTCACAGCACTGTGAAGATGTTTGTCTCAGAAGAGGCTGGGGTGAGGAAGCCAACTGTCCAGGCTGGGAATGGCCCAATGCTAAAGGCAGATGGAAGGACCATATCGTGGGTCTAATCCCAGCTCTGGCCTGCCACAACTAGCCCTGTGGGCCTCAATAGAAGGACTAGAGGTTCCGGCAAGTGGACATGATGGGAATGAGGGGCCCTGGCCCTGCTGGCATAGTCCTGAGGCAGAGCAGCCTCTCCCTTAGGAGCCTGTTACCCGCTGCCCACCGCCCCCTCCCCCTGCTGCCAGCTGGCAAGGCCTGGACATGTTTCTTTAGAGGTCAAGGGCACACTAAAATGGCTAAGGCAGGGGCCAAGATCAAACCAAATTTGCCATGTTAGCAAGAGCTGGCTTTCCCATAAATTGCACTGAATGAGCAGCCCAGGAGGCCCAAGCCTGATGCGTGCCAGGAATGGCACTTCATCACAGCAAATGGCAGCCCTGCTGTTCAGCCCCTCCACCAAGGCTGCCACATCAGAGTTATATTGAGCAGAACTCATTCCATAAGCAATCTTTAGACCACATACATCCAACTGTCCCATCCCAGCAGCCCATGGAGTAGCCCCACTGGGCAGGACACACAGACACACTTGCTACCTAGGATCTTGGCCCCTCAGTCTCCTGGTGCTGCTGACTGACTGTGAGACCTTGGGCCAGTACCTCACCTCTGGGCCTCAGCTCAGGGCCTCCTACTGCTGAGTGTTTAAGTTCCTTCAGGAATTCATCAGTTTCCTCTTGACAAACCTGTTGACCACATTGCCTAGAAGTTTCCTGCCAAATCAGAACCAAATAAGCCACCTCCAAAATCAGGATAGACTCACACACATGCAGAATGACAGAGGCAGAGGGACCACTGGGAACTCCCTGGCCAAAGGGGCAAGGATACATGTAAGAGCCCACAGCAAGGGAGGGTGGAGTTGCCTTAGGTCCCATCCACACAACTAAGACCCCAGTCAGAAGACTCAAGGCTTATGCCCCACCTCACCAGGCAAAGAGCAGGGCTGATGCTACATCTCAGAAGTCAAATGTCCCCTTTTGACGGGACAGTAAATCTGAAAAAGTCAAGAAGTAGAATCTTCCCATGGGCTTGAAGAAGGCAGCTCTTTGGAACAAGGAGCCTTTAAAGTGATGCGCCCTAGCCAGACAGATGGACACATGAGGTATGAATCAATGTCCCAGCTGCAGAGTTGGCTTTTCCCTCCACTTCACTGGTCCCTCCTCTCCCTGCACCTGCTTCATCTGTGCCTCATTCCCGCAGCTTGGCCCACATCAGCCCTCACTTTTCACTCAGCTTCTGCTGGCTGTCCATTGTCTCTAAGCCTGGGGGCAAACTCTCCAGTGTCCAGACCCAGTTACTTTTCTCACAAATGACCTTCAATGTTGACACTGTGCTCCAAGAAGACCATGTACTTCAACATCCATAGAAGGTGGCCCTACCACAGTAATTCTCATGCCTTTGCTTATGCTGGTTCCTCCCACCTGGGATGCCATTCAACTCCTCCTGCTGAGCTAAGCCCTGCCTCTACCTCAGGGGCCCACCTGTCTTGCCTGCTCCTGCTCCTGGGGACTCTCCCCTCATCTGACCTGCATGCCTTGGTACTGTTGATCAAAGTCTTCCCAGACAAGACCTGCTCCCTCTACCAGCCTCAGCAAGAACAAAACCGAAGCATCCCCTCACACACCCAACACATACCCTGCACTGATTTTCTGCACTGAAGGCTGGCAGGAGCCATGCTTTTGACTAACCATACATTGCCACTTCTCCTTGGACCCAAGTCTCTTCTCAGACCCACCATCCCCTTCTTCCCCAATCAATGGACAGCTGGGAAAACCCTCACTAGAGACAGGAGCAGCTCTGAAGAATGGGATGCAGACCACTCAGGAGTATGTTTCCCAGGCAGCACTCACATACTGTTGGTGGGCAGATCAATGGACTCATCTTTTCAGAAGACAAATCTCTATATGTTTTGAAAGCCTTGAGAGGGTAAGACCATTGGTCCAGAAGCTCCCCTCACAGCAATCTCTCCTATGGAGACAAATGAGTAAGCAGAACAAAGTATACAAGAGGGGTGGTGTCCCAGTGTTGAGTATAATGGTGAAAATTAGGCAATAATGTAAATTCCCAACAGTGATATTTAAACATACTATGATACATGATTCCAGCAAATACTATGCACTTATTACAAATGATATGGATATATGATGTAATTTAACAAGTTTCATGTGTATGGTTTCCATATATCATTAAGTGAAAGAAAGCTTTTAAACAAAAAGATGTGTAGGATGGTGCTATTTACTTAAAAGACTAAACAAGCAGTAATTTAACCAAATGAAATGGGAGCTGGGGCTGCTTGGATAGGTAATGATGGATCTCCAAAGTTGACACAAGGTGAAAAGTGCCAAGGAAGGACTGGGAAGTGAGGAGAGCCAATGGATGCATGGGGAATTCTCTCCTTCCTCTGGGGTAGACATCCTGGGGAAGGTGCCCTGTGCCTCTAGGGTCCCTCTGGGCTGCTCTGAGCAGAGCCTTGCTGCCCGTGGGCACACACACAGCCTCCTCCAGGATCCTGGGTCTTCTCTGCACACAGCTTGGGTGGAAGGGAGAACAGGTATGCATTTTGGGGGGTATCTCCCACCTTACTTCTAGTCTTACTCTTCCTTGGGGCACTTGGGTTTCTTGCAGAGCCTCCTAGGCCTCCCTGGCACATCAGGAAAGGCCACCTGGATTGACAGCTGACATCTTTGCTCCTCATCCCTAAGTGGCTTCACATGGCTGTGACACTGTCCCACTGCCTGGACCTCAATCTCATCTGTAAAGTGGCGCCAAGCCACCAAGCCCATGGACTTGCTCGCTGGGTCTCCTCCTGACAGGATATTCCCAAGCCACAGCATGTGTCACTGACTAGAATTTGGTACCAGTTCTTTTCCATCCCATAGTTTAGGTGTCATGATGTTGGTGGGTGTCTTCATCTTCCAAATGGCCTGTGTGAGTGCATTTCTAGTTTGGATAGCTTCTCTGTGTACACTTTCAGTAGTACAGCTCCTGTTTCTACCTTGATAGGAAATCTTTTGGTACCTTAGGAATGGTCATATTACCCTGCTTAAGGGGCCTGGCCTAGATCACCAAAGGAACAGGTGGCTTATCAGCCACTTTCCACCCTAGCTATCCTTCATAGGGTAACTCCTTGTGCCAAGTCCAAACAAGGGTATATACCCAGACTACACCAGCCTGTCCCATGGCAGCTCAGGACCAAGTCTAAGTCCTCCTGAGCAGGCCAGGCCACCTCAGACACTAAATGGGTGCCCAGCCCACCCTCCTTGCCCTTCATACCCTTATTCCTCCTTCTTCCATTAGCCTGCAGATGCTTCTTGGGGTAGGCAGGGGGGAGCATCCTTAGCAAGGATGACTGGGGGGAGATGGGGACAGGCACTCCTGATGCAGATGGTCTCTGAATGCACCTTCTTCCCAACTGCTGAAGCCTCTCAAGGCTTTCCAGCAACCTCCCAGGGAAGGGGCCTCTGGCCCTGATTGGATAGAGAGAAGGAAAGAGCCAATGAGGGAGTGCAAGGAGCCTGTTTTCCCCAGGCCACAGCAAGCCTGGTGTGGTCAGGGAGTGGAGTTGGAGCTGATGCAGGCAGATTAGCAGAAGGGAGGGAGCCAGGGAGTTGGAAGACAGTGACGCAAATGCTTGGCTGATGCATGAGGAGACAGAGATGGAGAGAGAAGCAGCAGGAGAAGAGCCTCTGCCCCACAAGGACGTGCTCTGCCTCCAAGATGAGAAGACTAATTCAGAGAAAATTTTCTAGAATTGCCACCCAGGCTGACTCTCCATGTTGTGCACACCCTTTTTCTCAAGCAGGCTTCTGTTTCTTTGCCCTTGCAGCTACCTCTTTGCCAAATGGCCTAGAGCCTCAGCCCAGGAAGCATGTCCCAGAGGAGCCATCAAGTCCCACAGCCCCTTGGCTAATCCC